TGTCGGATACGCAGTACGTGGAAGCCGAAGTCGGAAGAGACCTTTAGTTTACCCGGGTTGAGGTTATGTGCGCCGCTGCGTCCCGGGAGCGATTAACCCAGGGAAAGAAGCGGTTAATGCCGGCTTCCGGAAAACCGCAGGAATAGGAAGAAACGTCCTACCAAGTCCCACCCAAGGTCCAGCTCTCGTCCACTCTTTTCTCACGTGAGCCCTGGCGGCGCTCGTCCCGACCCTTGTGTATACAGTCATATTGACGGGCGCGTATACCTCGTTCCTGGCGACGCCGCCAGGAGCGTAAAGCCGCGTTTCCAGTGCCCCCTAAGTCCGACCAATTAGAGCGGCTGCGGGGCCCGTGCGCTCGTAACGCGAGGAAGCGGAGAGAACCTGATATTTAAGTAATTGCCATAAGCCCGAGAGGTGAGTTCGGCTCACCGAAGCACGAAACCCCCGAAGAGCCTGGGGAGGCCTTTCTTTTCTTCCTTATTCCAAGCCTCCTTCGTCCTTATCCCTCGACCTCGGATCGACACGAATTGGATTACGTTTGATACGCGAGTCAGGGGTGACATGGTTCTGCGATACATATATCTGCACACGTAAATCTGAACGTGTGACCGTTGTCGGGGCGTTTAGTGCATTCCTATTGGCGTCTTCGGGAAATCCCTCCACCTGTTCATGAGAGACTTTAAGGCGATATGAAAGGGTCATTTTATATGCACGACGTAAGAATATCAATGAAACTTTTCTCCAAACTGGGTGCACCGAATCATCTGAAACTTCACCACGTGATTGTGGGGACCCCGAGGAAGAACGCGATGCTTATGAAATTTCATTTTTCTCTAAAAGTATGTATTCTTGGTTTTAGTCTGAGATGGATAAAAGAAAAATTCTTATCAAAAATGATATTTCATGTGCATCGCGTTCTTCCTTAGGGCCTACATAATCACGTGCTGAAGTTCCCAACGATTCGGTACATGCAATTTGGAGAAAAGCTTTATAAATACTTTGACGCTTCATATATATAGAGTGGCCCTTTCATATCACCTTAATCCACTAATTGTTCCGTCAGTTAAACGTAAAACAAGGACGAGATAACTCCCCGAGTTCGGTTAAAGTAATCTTAAACGTGTATCTATGTACTTAGGGACGCCATTTTCTCCCGATTCTTAGTCCGCTGCTGTACGAAGTTGGAATTGTTTAAGCATATATACTTAGATATACGTAAATGATGGAAGTACGACCTTTCCGAGGGATCCCTGAAATATCTTTCCCGAGGACGAAACCCCTTTATCCCGAACGAAAGACCTTCGCATCAGCCGGGTTTCCAGCTGCCGGTCTACCAGGTGGTAAAAAGAAGAAGGCAGAGCTACAAGGAGAGCTGCATTCGGCCAGAAGAGCGAGACGAAAAATGCGGAATAGCCGGGGGATAGAGGGAGAGGGTATCAGAAGGAAGGCAGAAAGATTGGGAGAAAGAGAGGTTAAAGTCGAGGCATGGCAAGGGGGACAGAGAGGGAAAGAGACTCCTCGAAAACACCTGGCTACCGTTCTCGAAGTGGCGCCTCGACCGGCGTCCTCATGAGAAATTCCTTCCTTTTTCACATGGACGTTCCATGGGAACCGCCTTCAGGCCCCGAACACAAAGGATAGATGTCCTCCCTTTTCTTTTTTTTTTTCTCGGACTAGATCGATCCGGATCCCTAAGGGACGCGGGAACATTTTCCGAAGCTGACCTCGTGCGCCTCTTCGAAGCGACGCGACCTGCCGCCATATTGGTTCAATTGGAACTTACGAAAGACAAATTAGAAAATTCGTTATTTTAGAAAGAAGAAAGAAAAGCTCAGGAAGAGAATCAGCTAATTTATTATTATCGCTGTTCTTCGCGAGCCAAAATAACCAACGCTGTTTCGCGGGAACATTTTCCGAGGCTAACCTCGCGCCTCTTCGGGCCGACGTGATCCGCCGCCATATTGGTTCTCTTCGGACGTACACAGAAGACAACTAATCCATTATTATCGCTATTTTTCGCGACCAAAGACAACCAACGCTGATTCCTACCCGAACCAGAGTTGCAGCTTGCTATAACTAATTGATACAGTTTCCCAGCGGGATGTTTTATAATCGGATAATGAGCAATTTAATTTTTCCCCTCTTCCTCGGCGCGACCGGAGATGGCCGGATCCTCTATTAAACCGCGGATTAGCATTAATTATGACGCCTCTTTCCGCCATCGCAGACCGCGTACTCCACTTCTTGCAGGGTGGACGTCGATCGAGCGATTAGTGGCGACCGGGGATATTACTTGGACGGATATGACGTCACGGACGGGAGAATAAGTTTCCGTTGGATCTCGTCGGGACTGGTTTCGGCCGATCGGTTAGCAGATTTTCGCAATTTATACGATAGAATGTCGATCTAAGATCCGGCCCTCGCGGCGCGATCTGCACCTATCGGCGCCATAACTCGAGATTGGCGTCAGCCTATGAATAATGAATGTTAATTTAGAAAAAGGAATTATCCCTCAGAATGGTCCCGGGAACGTGTGAACGCGTTTCGAGCTAACTCCTCCTTTGTGAACCCCGTGGACGTTAAAGAGAAGTTGAAGGTTTTCGCGCCATGAAAGGGGGATTATTCAGGGAAATTAACGAAGTTCTCAGGAGCTCCACAGGTGCGTTCTCACACCGAGGATTCTCCCAACTACTTCGGCATTAATTAACGCCTTTATGACAGAATTCCGCAATTAACGAACCGCCGCCTCGACCTCCCTCGGCGTTTCCGTATCTCGGCTCGAATCGGACTTCCCCTGGATTAGTTAAAACCGATAATAAATGATAAGACCTCATCGACATCCATTTGCAATTATAGAAGGACCATAACCTCCTTGATTGCGTACGCGAACGGAAAGGTACATGTATCGATCACCAGGGACGCGGGGGGAGAATTAATATTAACAAGACCATTTGAAATTGAAAAGCTGCCTCCTCGTTAGGTTGCACGTAAAAATCTATTGGGATAATCGAATGCATCTTTCAGTTTGCAAACTTCCTGCCAGCGGATTAGATAACCTCTCGGAGGTCTCGCGGATGCACTTGCGGCCAGCTGGTCCAGTTAGCACCCGGGCTGATCGCTCTCGCGTGGAATTAATCAGATCGATCGATTAATTATGACCAGGTGAAAATCAATGATAACCGAGTCGCAAATCGCTGCCGGATGGTATACGCGCCGAACGAGTCGGCATACCGGACGACTCGGACCTGTCCGGGATGCGCTCGGCGGAACCGAGCGAATCCATGCGCCATGACGACGGCAGTCGGTAATTATTTGGATTCATTACGCGCAGGAAGGCGACTTCCCCTCGAGGCTCACCGTTCGGAATCCTGCTCGCCTACGAGTGGGCCCAACGGACCCAAACGGACCCCGGGCTTTTACGGTCACGTGCCCCGGCGAGCCTGCGTTTCGCGCCAAGCGCACAACTCAAGGGAGACGAGGTTGCAAACGCGTAAAAAATTATCTGCACGCAGGAAAAACTGGAAATTCATTGGATCCTTCGCTTAAAACTTGCAAGAGAGGGTGACTTGTATGCATGTTAGAAAAAAAATTGTATTAAGGGTTTTGGTTAATGGGATGATTATTTTCATCATAATGGATAATTGTCCTTGGAGTACAGGCCCAAGGGACTTAAGTGGATCCCAGGAGTTTATGTTCACTTGCCTCGGGGGACCTGCATTTCGCGCCAAGCGCACAACTCAAGGCAAAGAGCTTGCAAGCGCGAAAATTCGGACTGCAGATAGAGAAACCTGGAAAGGACCGATTCGAATTTCCATGAATGGACGATTCGCTCGCATGGTTTAGGCTTATCGTTAATGCAGTAGGGGGTTCTTTTTTTTCATTTCAATGGGTAATTGACCTTAGGGGAATTGCGCGCCGAACGGAGCAGAACAGACCGGGGATCTTTACGGTCACGTGCCCCGGTGAGTTTGCGCGCAACGAGTTTGCGTTAAACGCCAAGTACAGAAATCGCTAAGAATCTCGGAAAATAGAAAACGGAATCGATTGCATTCCGATAACGTGGAGGATTTGCGAACAACCTGGCGGAATGTTGTGAATTAATTCAAGAAGGCCTCGCGCTCGTTTTGGAGCGTTTCCGGCGTCTCGCAACGGACGACTCGTCCGATAGGTTGGTAATGAATTATGCGATCGAATATCCCGCACGATATCTGCCCGATGAGTTGAAATGGGCCCAGGGCTTGAACGGCCACGTGCCTCGGACGCTCGCCAGCACCTGCTCCTAACGAGATTGCGCAGCGCGCCAAGTGCACATATCAATGTGGATATAAAATTAGCAAATTGATCCAGATACCTCGGGAGTTTTGTCGGCGGGGAACTAGTTTAGACAATCCAAGACCTACAGCCTGGCAGGATGCCGTGAATTAATATTATCAGCACTTTGCGTTTGTTTTGGACAGCCTCCTGCCAGCTAACCCGGCGCAATTTGCGGTGGACAACTTCGCGGAATGCCGCCCGCCCATTTGATATATGATTAAACTCGTTACGCGTTGAATTATGTATTATGTAATCAAATACCCCGCGAGAGCTCCACCACACGGATCGCTTAATTTAGTATTTCAATCATTCATATCGTCTATATATTTTAAGGGGTAATTGTCCCGGTGTGAGAGGCGAAGCCCGAATGAGCCCGGGGCCTGATACGTTTGAACATAACGAGACGGCGTTGCGCGCCAAGTATATACGTCAACGGGGAAATAAGGGAGGCAATTGATAGCGATCTTTGAACTGGTCGAAGCAATCAGCGAGGTATAACTCCCAAGAATCTTGCGAATTGCGTTTGCTTTGGGCTATTTAGCTGTAACTTATCCGGTAGGATAAGCTGGGGAGTGTCTAGTCGGAGCGCGCCGACATGTTTCTTCCATTACTTGATCTTTGCTGCCCGGAAGTGAAAATTTCATAACGTACGACTCTAAGTATCGATTCATTTGCCGTTACAGGATTCCCACGGAATCGAGGAAACGAATGGGACCCCAGTGACCGATAATTCGCAGGACGTCCAAATTCTGGAAGGGTCCCAAAACGAGACCCACACAACGGTGACGTTCAGCCGGAGTTGGCAGACCTGCGATCCCCAGGACCACCGACTGACGGTAAGGCTCGAAAATCATTCCGGCCCCCGAAATGGGGCCCAACCCCGAAACGAGTCGAAATCGAGTGCGAAATTTCCATCAGAGAGCCCGACGATTCGTTTAGAGAGTCGCCGTTTGCGAGTGTCCTGGGCCGAAATTTATGCCCGGGCCCCGCGTTCCTGGGCTCGATGCATGTCCAGGATTCTCGCGAAGGTATTTTTCGGCGGGCCTTCCGAAGCTGCGGGATACCACGAATTGCTCGCTGGGCCCGGGGATGAGCTGTTGGGCCCATTAAAATATTTCTAATCGAGTCCCGCGGGAGCTGAAACCGCGCTTCTCCTCTCTGGGCCTTGCTTTGTTCGGCAACCCGCCAGGCCCTAAGTTCTCTCATTGCTCGACTTCGTTTCAGGGCGACACGGTGCGAGTACTTTGGGCGCTGCACACAACGGACCCAGAATTAAACACTCCCTTATGGCACGGGGAAAGACGCGGAGGTCGGGCCCTGAGACTTAAGGCCTCGGCTCCCCACCCGCCGCCACCTAAGGACACTCCTGACCTGCGACACTGGGATGTCAAACTGAACCAGGTGAGCCTAAAGCCCATCTCACTTATATCCAGAAAAGGGCCCGAAGGGCCAAAATCTCCCTGGGTCTCGATTTTATCTTAACCCTGCCTCGAATTTACAGTTCGCCGTTTCCGACGACTCGGACACGGTCTATTGGTGCAAGATCTTTAAGGCCCCACAGTTAGCGAAGAAGCATCACATGATCGGCGTAAGTATCCTGACCCTAGATCATTATCCTGAGCGCCGTGTTCCTGGGATTCCTGTCCCATTTTGACATCCGGGAATGACGAATTAGTTGGGGGCCTCACGGGAGTACCAAGAATGCGCAGGTGGGGCCTTATCCCCATGTGCTGCACGGATCACGATCGTCCGTGCTTCGCGACCGGACGTCGTGTTCAGCCGAACGATTGCGGAATGAGAACTAGTTTTCCTGCCCCTCCCGAGTTACCGAGGCGTCGCCTGAGGCCCAAACGGCGCTGCCTATGAATGAATCTTCTAGGGCCCCACGTGGGCTCGGCTCCCACTACCGGCTAATGAGGCCCTTTTCCTCTTTCAGTACACGCCGCTTGTCGAGAAGGCTAACGAAGACCTTGTGCATCATGTTATCCTCTACGAGTGTGCTTCAACCGCCCCCATTTTGGGCCTACACGCCAGGATCGTCGGGTCCCCATGTTACAGTCCCACCATGCCCAGAGAATGGGACTCGTGTCTTCAACCAGTCCTTGCTTGGGCTCGAGGAAGCAGAGGTACGGCATCTTTCACCCTCTATCGTCGATCATCATCGCATTTCACCACAGTTGTCGTAAATTCGAAATCAGCGTCGAGAGCCCTAGAGTTTCGACTTGTCGGCCTTTTGAACATTTTGAAATTGGAACCCCCTAATGAAAATGTTTTAATCTACGGCCCTCGAACCAGGGAAGACGTCTTTTATCGTTTTCTGATGTGCATTAAGTTCTTCAAATCCCGTGAGGAAAATTTCGTTACGTACGAAGAAACGGAGCGCAGTGGTTAAGTGTGATTGAAAAATATGAAACTTCATCTATATTGCTACTTCGTCACAGTAAATAGCGACGTTATTGCGGCGCTTTTAAAAATTGAGACATCAAGGAAACGGCTTAGATGAAGCGGACACCCCACCGGATACGGCTTCCTGTATTAATAGCTTTCCTTTTTCGTCGCCCAGGTGAATGGCTTCCTGACCACGTGGGGATCCCTATAGCGGAGCACCGAGAGGGCTCTTATTACATGCTGGAGGTCCATTACAATAATCCGGGCCTGAAGAAAGTCGTGGACAGCAGTGGAGTCAGGTTGCACCTAACTCCACAATTAAGGCCCCAGGAGGCTGGGATCCTTATAGCAGGGGTCGCTGTCAGCCCCCTGCACCTGGTGCCCCCCAGACAGAAGGAGTACGCAACTGCTGGGTACTGTACCCCCCACTGTACGAACACGGTAAGCCCCTTTAATAAGGATTATCCGTTGAAGAACTTTCTTCGAAATTTCCAAATCGAATTAAGCACTGATGGAAACGACATCCGTTTAAAGATGTTCCCCAAGGAAGGCATCAACGTCGTGTCCGTGGTCCTTCACTCTCACCTGGCAGGGAAACGCCTAGGTCTGAAACATATTCGTCAAGGCAAGGAGCTACCCAGGATAGTCCAGGACAACCACTTCGACTTCAACTACCAGCAATCCCACACTCTGGAAAAGGAAGTAAAGATACTTCCTGGTGACGAATTAGTGGCCGAGTGTGTGTATGGAACTTTGGACCGATCCAGACCCACTTTGGGAGGATACGCAGCCTCCCAGGAGATGTGCCTCGCCTTCGTGGTTCACTATCCAAGAACTCCCTTGGCGGCTTGCTATAGCATGACACCCGTCAAAGATTTGTTCAGGACCTTGGGAGTTTCCAGCTTCAAAGGAGTCACAGTGGACCATCTAGAGAAACTGTTTCTCACAACAGGGTGCGTATCATCTTATTTCACGACAACGGACGCAGATTTAAATTCGATTGTTCATGGGATTTTACGCTTTCTTCAGGACCGATTCGGTGACGCTGCCTTCGACCACTCAGCAGCAACTTCCGGTCTACCCAGCTACTCGACCAAGTGAAGATGTTGATGCAGATCTCGTTAAGGAAGCGGAGTCTGCTCTTAAGGCAATGAGAGATTTCTCGGATGAAAGAGAAAGCGACAACGTCTTCGCCAGACTAGTGATTGAAGACCCTGAAGAATTCCGAGGTAAACTATCACGAACACGCGATTTTGATCTTCTTCTTTTTTTTTTTTTTTCAAGAAAATACTAATTTCTTCTTTTCTTTAGGTCGCACTCTTGCAGAACATATGTTGGCTCTACCTTGGACAGAAGAACTGCTAGCTAGGTCTATCGAAAGGAGCCTCTACCATGGGAGACATATGACTTTCTGTAGAAAACGAGACGACAAACTTGCTCTGGTAATTTCCTCCGTTTTTCTTTTTCTTTTAAATTGCACTATGGAAAGTACTAATTTGCAACGACCATTTGATTGAACGCGAAAACAGATATCTCTTTACTGATAATTACATTTTATTCAATCTTTTCCAGCCTGCGGATATTCAGAACTTCCCGAATTTCACTGCTTTGCCAGAAGTTAACGACACTAGCTGCAGTGAATTCCAAGTCACATCCGGTTCCGACGTTCCTGGCTTTTTCGTCAGTTTCTTTATCTTGACGACAAGCTTATCACACTGGCTTAGCTTCTTTTAAACCGAAAAGAGGCCGGCTAGTGCTACCCTGTACATTTTTCTTTCTCTGAAACCTGTAAATTGGCTGGAATTAATTTATTTAACGACCCGAAATAATGTAACTCGCAACGCGGCCGTTCGAAACGGCCGGCAAAAAGAAAATGCGAAGTGCAACTTCGCGCCTCGGTTATGGAAATTCATTAATGTTTGAAGGAAAATCACTTTCAATTATTTCTATAGAAAAAAGTTTTACTTTTAAAGTACCTCCGGATCTGTATATTTATTTCCTTCGTGTTATCGAGTCAGTAACGTTATTGGAGATCTTTAATTCAACGTATTTAGGCATTTAAAATGAAAATAAATTAGCAAAGGGGTAAGTCACTGTTATATCTGGAAACTCGTCATAGTCGACATGTGCCTTAAATATATGTTATTCCTTAAACGTATCTGGAGGTACTTCAAAATATGCATAGATATATTATTATTACACGTGTAAATATATTTATAAGCAGCACCCCAGTGGTGATCCGACCACAGACACAGTATAACCGCGTACTTTTCATTTTTGTATAAAAAATTAATAAACGAAAGTCACACCGTAGAAGGCATTCTCAACTTAATAAGGTTATAGTGTCTCAATTCCTCGGTAGTATAATGGTCAGTATCCATACTGTGTTTAACAAGTACTATGTGGAATGACGTTACCCAGAATTCTCAAGTAATTTAATCATTTTAACGCAGTTTTTTTGTTGTTTTCGTTTTTTTAAGAGAATGAACTTGACGGTAAATGTCGTTTTACACCCTCCAATTTATTCGGAATAAATGTTCGACAATGCTTGCTCTTGCCACGGAGCAACTGCTCTATTGTACTTTCCACGCCTTCTTCGCTAACTCCCTAAGACTCAGATTTTACAAATGTGAAGAAATATTGCTCGTTTCTTTCTGCAATGACTATCACACGTGTTTAATTGGAATAAATTCATTAGTATCACAACGTACCGACTGTCGTATATGTCTACCACAGATTAAGTCAACATTCTAGAGACGACCATGATTAGATTAAAGAGCATCGCTAGTATTAAAGACCCTTCAGTTCGCTATCTTTTCCTGGGTGTAAAATGACACTGGCCTCGACATTACGCGGACATTTTCGATTCGATTTTCTTTCTATAACAAAATAAGGGTTTCCCCGACAACTAAGAAAAGGTTCCATATTAGAGAAATCAAGGAAAACTCCCTAGCCCACTGCGTACGACCGCTTTTATTAAATTGTCCAAGGTCTTCCGGTTCACTCGCCTTTCGGCATGGATTGCTCGTTTCTCTGGCCAAGAGGAAGAAAAAAGAAGGGAATTTGAAGTCAGGAATCGAGAGGACCCGTCGCCTCTCGCGGAAACTCCCGAGCCTCTTGGATTGTTCGTCTCTCGTGACAATATATATCTACAAACGTCAGCCTGCCCGAAGAGCCAGGCAATTTTTTTTTGCAGTACCTACCATGCATCCAAAATCCGATGCACGTAAAAAATCATGAGAATATATACACACACATGTATATACTTTCGAACAGGAGGGACATACGATTTATGTCGCTTCCAAGTTTCGGCTTGGCGAACTAGGACGTTCTCACGGACGATGAGAACGCGATGCACTCTTCCCCTCAATTTGTCCCCGTCAAATCTGCATATTTCTACTAATCACGATATCCAGGGTTCTCCGAAACCTTGCGGCTTCGGAAATCTTTTAATCGGCTCTCCTCGCCCAGACGTGAACACCCTCGAGCGTGTCCTCTCTCTCCCTTTTTCTCGCTGCGGCGCGCTGCAGAAATGTTGCCTGCGGGAAAGAATCGTCGATCGGTACCACGATCTACTGGAGAACCAGACCGATTTTTCCTGGAGTCATGCTAGGGCAACGCCAGTTGTACAGATAGTACTGCAGATTCCCGTCCCCGATGCCAAACTTCAGGGCTTCGAGGAATTCCTTGTTATCCATCAGGTCGAGAGCGTTGAAGACATCGAAACCCAGCTGTAACGGAAAAATATCCATTCTTACCGTGACTCAAAGATAACCCTTTATCACTTGAGTTTACATAAACTGGTTTACGATTCATGGTTCACACGGCTTATCATATTTAGTCAGAAAATAGAATATTTATAAGCTCAAGTGGTGAAGGTTACTTAAATATCATTTATCACTAGATTTCCGTCAAACCTACGTTTTTGGCAGATATTAGGGCGTCGGTGATAAGCTCACGCCAAGGTGTTTTGGTAGAAACGTTGTAAAAGCTATATGCAGCTTGAAGGGTCCTGTGCGTTTGGTGATGCATCACTGTGCTGGGCAAGGTATAGTAGCTCACCATATCGGTGACCGTGCCGTTGTTCTCCACGACGAAACTGTTGATAATTCCGTTTTGCGGAAGGAACCAATGCTGGAACTCATCGATGGAGAACACCGGCGCTAAGTCGAACTTCTCTAGATACTGAAACGAATGACAAAGGGTATTCCTAACAAATGCAAGTAGTTACACCAGGAAAAGTCACAACTATTACAGTTAGCCGTTCGAACCTACGTCCTTTAGTATTTGGTGAGCCTGAGGCACATCTGTGTAAACCATTTTCCTGAAACCAGGTACTTTGGTGTTCTCCGGCAGTTTGTAGAGCTTGAGCGTCCGTTGCATTGTCATGTTGCGAGATAGGTGGGAGAATTTAATCTCGATCAGCTTCTTCGGGTTGAGCGATCGGTGCCAGTACCTACACGCATGGCAGCATCGATAAGAATTAGTAAGTTACCTCTAGGTCAAAATGTACGAAAAAGATCGTTATTAACCTGCACGTGGCAATGGGTTTGGGCAGTACAACGCCAGCGGTGTACACAGCTTGGAAGATACCCTGAAGATTTACTCTCCTCGTAATCTCTCGAATCAACACTGGTGCTACTCTTTTTGATCGTAGCTTCTTGTGGACGCAAAGGAAATTGATCTCCACCATTTTCTGGGTACTGAAAGTTGCATCGATATATAAAGTATAAAACTCAAGGCGATAAGTTTTTCTGTTTAGTCAGTTTATAATTTATATGAAGTTAACTTACTGATTATAAATACGCATGGTGGCTGGGATGGCAGAGATGAAACCGACTAGTCGACCACTCTTACTCACTCGGACTCCACAGCGCCAGTCTTTGCACCAACCAGGAGGTTGCAAAGCCCTGAAGTAAATTAAAATGAATCATTAGATATCGTCTACTTCATAATTCACCGTTTTTTTGTGTTTACAGATTTAGTATTATTATTTGCACGTACCACTTCAAAAAGTTTGGTGGGTAGTCGAACCTGAACATGGCATCGTCATCTTCAACATAATTCTCAGAAAGTAATGAATACAACTCTGCCAACACTAGCGGATCATCTAGGTTTAACGTATCCCACTGAAAGCCTTCTGGTAGAGAGTAGGGCTCCGCTCTGATAGAAACTTTATCAGGTTCAATCGGTTCATTCAGCACGATCTTCTCATCTAGGAAATGCAATAGAACAGTGAAAATTCAAAATGTTCCTGTCACTAATTATCACTTTGCACCTACCCATCTTAGGTACTGGTTGAGTGCTCCAAAATTTATACGGCTTCTGCATCGCTTCTTCCTGAGTCTTGGCAGGTTTCTGTTGTATGTTGAACACTTCCATAGCCATCCGAATGTCCTTTATATTAAAAATGCTACATCTGGCACCAGACATGTCAGAGTCCTCCGCATTACTCAGCTCTTCGTGGTTTTCACCACCAGAGTTGGCAGCCTGGTTTTTCTTCTTCCGATTTTTCTTTGAACTAAAACATTAAACATATTGTAAACTATACAATATCCCATACCACTGCGGCACTATCAATGCTTAATAAATCAGTACCCTGATATAGCAAGTGAACATTTTATCAAAAATTGTACCGAGTAGCAAACATTAAACAAAGGCTGATTCTTTGCGGTACAGCCTTCTCTGGAAAAGACTAGTCGTATGTACAATTCATTTAACTCCTTTTGATTTATGTCTTTGACAATGACATTCACCATTCATAAGATACATGCACATCGCTGTCAATTGGTATGAGAATTATACGATTGCACAATGGATTAACTCAGAGGAACCTAATGCTGCAAAAGAGAACTTTTTCATCGGGAGTTGTTCTCTATTCGACATATTTATGGGAAACATGTGTGCTCGAGATGTGTGAAAATTGTGAGGTCATGTGTACTAGGGACGGGCTAGTCCTTGACGGTGCCGGGCCTTACTAGGACGGCGAGGAGAGTGACCCGGCCGGGCGGGCCCATCGAATCTAGGTTAGGAACCCAGCACTCGACGTAGCCGTCGCACTCACCTTTTGGTCTTCGCATCTTTATCGACGATTTCTTCCTTCTTGGTGTCTCGTTCCGCGACCTGGCTTTTCTCCTCCATTTTAAGTATAGATTTTGCCAATGCGCACGTTCGTTGCTCGCACTTCTAGCGACACAACGCGCCGCCTGGCGAACTGCAAAGGGAAGCAGATCGCAGTTGAGTCATTGAATGAGTCGCAAAGTGTGATCCACATAGATAGCATACGCGGCACAAGAGTGACGCTCTGAACATAGTCAAAACATAGTCTGCATTCATATACTTAATGCACAGAACTATCGCCACTATCGAGTACAGCAATATGCCACGTAACAGCATGTAATTAAAATCGAGATATCTATGATCAGGGCGTTTATTACGTATTTTTGACGAGAGCGCTCACTTCTCGCACTTTCATCTCACGTGGGTTTATTCGCTGTCACATGTCACTTTGTCAGGATCGACGGTGAAGAGAGACGGCGAAGGATCATTTCGATTATACTTTGTCGATTCTACATTTAAATGGATGCGTGTTCTTAAGTGCAGTAGAGTGCCGGAGAGTTGCCGCAGAGTGCCGCAGAGTGCCGGAGAGTTGCCGGAGAGTTGCCGCAGAGTGCCGCAGAGTGCCGGAGAGTTGCCGGAGAGTTGCCGCAGAGTGCCGCAGAGTGCCGTAGAGTGCCGTAGAGTGCCGGAGAGTGCCGCAGAGTGCCGCAGAGTGCCGGAGAGGGCCGGAGAGTGCCGGAGAGTGGCGGAGAGTGCTGGTGAGTTGCCGCAGGGTGCCGGAGAGTGCCGGAGAGATGCCGCAGAGTGCTGGAGAGTGCTCGAAAGTACCGGAGAGTTGCTACAGAGTGCCGGAGAGTACCGGACTCTACGGGACTCTACTGGCACTCTACGGGCACTGTAGGGGACTCTACGGGACTCTACGGTACTGGCACTCTACGGGTCTCCACGGGACTCTACTGGCGCTCTACGGGCACTGTAGGGGACTCTACGGGACTCTACAGGACTACTCTACGGGACTCTACGGGACTCTACGGGACTCTACGGGAGGGACTCTACTGGCACTCACTGGCACTCTACGGGCACTGTAGGGGACTCTACGGGACTCTACGGGACTCTACCGGCACTCTACTGGCACTCTACGGGCACTGTAGGGGACCCTACGGGACTCTACGGGACTCTACTGGCACTCTACGGGACTCCACGGGACTCTACTGGCGCTCTACGGGCACTGTAGGGGACTCTACGGGACTCTACGGGACTCTATTGGCACTCTACGGGACTCCACGGGACTCTACGGGACTCTACGGGACTCTACGGGACTCTACGGGACTCCTACTGGCACTCTACGGGCACTCTACGGGACTCTACGGGACTCTACGGGACTCTACCGGCACTCTACTGGCACTCTACGGGACTCCACGGGACTCTACGGGTCTCTACAGGTCTCTACGGGTCTCTACGGGACTCTACGGGACTCTACTGGCACTCTACGGGACTCTACGGGCACTCTACGGGCACTCTACGGGCACTCTATGGGACTCTACGGTACTGTACGGTACTCTACGGGACTCTACGGGACTCTTCGGGACTCTACTGGCACTCTACGGGCACTGTAGGGGACTCTACGGGACTCTACGGGTCTCTACGGGACTCTACGGGACTCTACCGGACTCTACGGGACTCTACTGCACTTAACAACACTCAACTGCACTGTAGAGCCTGCGATAAGGCTCGGAAACATTTGAAAAACGCGCGAAAACGCTTGACAAATGTTCGAAAACGCTCGATAACGCTTGAAAACGCTCGAGAACGGTTGAAAAACGCTCGATATCGCTCGAAAACGCTCTAAAAACGCTCGAAAACGGTCGAAAAACACTCGATAACGCTCGAAACCGCACCAAAAAAACTCTAAAAGCGCTCGAAAACGTTCGAAAACTGTCGAAAAACGCTCGATAACGCTAGTAGGAAAATATAAAAATCATACGCGAAATGACTCGGCTTATATCCGCAGTTAGATAAGCCTCGGGAGGATTTTTCGCAGTATTCGACTCTCACGCATACTCGTCGAGTGTAGCGCGGAACGCACATATACTTAACATGTCGACCCGTAGCTTAGCGCTTGGCTGGTTGGGACGCGCGAAGATTTTTAGGAGCGATCGCCCTCACGCAGATTCGCTGCATTAGAGTTCCGTACGCGACACCGACGCGTGCCCCAAAGCTCCGCATCACGTCGACTTCGAGGCAGCAATGTACTTAATAGTAGTAAATAAGTAGATAAAGTCAAATGGAGCGTCACGAGTGTTCTTCCCTTACCATCACGAGTACGCGAGCCGCCAACGGCGACTGGTAGATGGTACCGCCATCGCGAGTGCGCGAGCTCCTATCAGAAATTCGTTGCGCCGCCCTTGGGGGCAAAAAACCGTGAAAGCTAACGTACGAAACCAGAGGGCAGCAACAGGATGTGATCGCACGATCCTGCCCGTGAGCAATCTCCCAACTCATCTCTGGTTAAAACATGTTTGTTATCACAGTGATGAGGAGGATTTTGTAATTGAGCCGCCATGGGGGGGGGGATCAGGTGGCAAGTGCATTAGCCGTCCACATCCTCCACCGGGGGACAGCACAGGACGCGATCGTGCGACCCTGCCCGTGAGCAAACTCCCAACTCATCTCAGTTTATTACTTTTTAACTTGAACTTCGACGTGCATTCTCGATATTTTCGGTAACTTATGGTGTGTGTCACAGTTACCTTATCCAATTTCCTGTTATCGAGGATTTTCAAACTGCCAACGCCGTATCGATCGCTAGGTGAAGAGCGCGTTCGTATTTCCCGCGCGGCAAGATGGCGCTCGGCCGCTCGCGGAAGTTCGGGTATCTTCGTGTCGGCGCTCGGGGTTTACGGGAGCCGAAGCAAGGAGCCCCGCCCTGCCGCCCGCCTATCCGAGACGCCGAGACGCTCGCTTCGTGCAGAGGTCGCTTTGGTGGAAACGAGCCCGCGATAGTGGAGTGTCGGTTCGCGGCGGAGCTCGCTAACGAGAGCGAAGATTGATCTCTGCCCTCGCGTGAGCGACTTTCCTGTCGGAGGCTCCAGTCGGACGAGAGGAGACGCGCTTCGGAGGGCGAATTTCAATTCGGAGCGTCGCGACCGGACAGGACGGCGACAGGGCGGAAAACCGGGAAGTGGCGGGCGGGAGAGAGAGGGTGAGCCAGTGCCGGGAAAGTGCGGGGGAAAGACTCGATGTGAAAGTCGCGGCCCGGCGAGCAGCGGACGCCATTTCGGGGAAGGACTCGCCGAGGACACCTCTGGACTCGTGGAGGAACTCCCGGGATCCCGCGGATTTCGAGGACTTCGACGGGACGACGGATAAAGGTACGGAATTGTTGGCGCAGGTGGGTGGGGAGCGGCGGGGCGAGCGGCTGCCGAGCCCTGCAGCCCTCGGACGCGATCCCAAGATGGCTGCCGCCCGGACTGTCAAACCGCTCACCTCGGCCTTCTGAAAGCTGATAACTTTGAAACCTCAAGCCTGATCTGGTACTGTACCGTCGCGATTGTTCTCCGAGGCGGCACGGACTGTCCCGATCTATTTGATACGAGGAATTATCAATCTTGTAGGATTTGCTGGGTAGTGACCGCTCGTGGCACCGGCGCTTCTCCGGGGAAGGGAGGAGAAACACTACGCTGAGATGATCGGAGAGCGATAAGATTTAAAGGTTTTAAACTAGATTGATTTGAAACTAGTCGAACTGTCAACTTGGAGGAATTTTGGGAAAGGTGAACGAACGAATCAACATTTTGTAGAGCCCATTCGCGAGTCGGCGAAGGTGTTGACTCCTGCTCGACGTAGTCATTTAAAACCATAAAATTGACTATCAAAGAACCTAAAGTTTAATACAGGGAAAATAACGAAGAAGGACGAGTAATGCGTATGGTTAAGTTAAATGACTTTTTGGAGTCTGCTTTAAGGAGAGTGTGAGTGTCTGAGTTTGCTTTAAGGAGTCAGCAGGAAGACGGGGTTCTATGCTTAGAGTAATTCTTGCGGTTACCTTATTTATGTAAGCCTGAGTCATGCCAGAAAATTGATAAATAGGAAAAGATCGGTGTATGCACGTGCATAAATATGTTCATACATATGTGTGTACATCATCGAGTAGGTCCGCCTTGTGCCAGCATTAAAGACGTTCATCGTGCTTTCCATTTTTCCTTATTTATCTACGACAGTTATATTCATGGTAAACAACATCTCGAGTGATTTCTTACCCTGCTCGTACCGGATTCTATTTATATTCCCCATTCCTTTACAGGAAAAGACAAGCTTTTGAGTGTCCACTTACAAGAACCACATTGAGGTTAGAATTGCATCGTTTTCCTGACTTCTCAGCATGCGCCGATGAAGTAGACTTCCCCACGATTGCAGTGCCATGCGATGCGAAATAAAAAAAATAAAATACAATTCTTAAACTACTCATTTAAGTCGAGGCTTTCCGGAGTATCATTTTCGTTTTAGATGAGATAATCGAAAAATTAATTTTCCTATCTCTTACGTTTTAAGTTGCTTTTCTTATTCTTTGTATATTCTTGAAAAGGAATTGTTTTGCCTCCGACATTTTTGGTTTTTGGTGCCAAGATTGATATTGGATAATGTATCGCTCTCTTGGTAAGAACGGAGACGCGCTTGTAATTCTGAGACACCGAAGACTGCTCCGCGCCGTTTTGCTATTGGCCGGCCAATTGAAGCTGCAGCTGTCTTAATCGGGTTTAATTGGTTTGAAATACAAAGTCTTTACATTCCCGAAGACAAACGACATAGAGCTCGTGTCCAATTGGCCGTGACAAGACGACGGTTGACGCGCGGGGAATACAGAAATCGATTGCTGAAACGCGACACCTTTTTCATTGTACTCCATTTTTTCTTCGATGTCGAGAAACTTACAGAGGAACTAACCCCCTTGCCCGAAGCTATCTACATTCTTCGATTAAACTGAATAAACGAAGTTAGGTAGTTGCAATTTGTCAGATTTATCGGGAACGGGGATGATAACCGTCGAATGAGTGTGACATTTCTACAAAAGTGTAAGGAATTATTTCCCGCTGGGCTGGAAGTGGGAGGATTAGCCGAACAGTCAAGGTCGCTTTGCAAAGGAACACGTGATGAGTCAATTATTCAGAAATACGATAGCGTCTCGCGCCAAGTATATATGTGCGACCGTCTTATGACGAGGCCGTGTCTTATTGCAAGAAAAAAAGCGGCGCCCAGCCGTCTCCGGTCGTTGAAACGGGAACCTTGATTTCGCGTACTCGATGCTCGTCGAGAAATCGCATTTACAATTATACCCAAGGGTAGATAACGAAAAGTGGATTCGAAAATCTCTAATGGAAAATTTTCTGGGAGCAGTAGTTCGGTAGATATTCGAGTTTTAAAAATCGACCAATGACGTGAAGTGGCTCCCCTCCCCTGACTACACTTTCCGATGGAGCCGCGGCGCGATTGGCTCCACCTTTAACATTAATTATCTCGAGAACCGTTCATCCCTCAAGATTTTGCAAAGAAGGATTTCTATTCGACTATCGCTAAAGATCCTTTTAGTCGAGCCCAGTCCCGTGATTTTTAACTAACTGTCTAGAAACTGTTGATCGGGCGCGGGTAAACGAGTTATTTTAAAAGGAGCAAAATCCCGCCGAGGGTGCTTAATCAGCTCGTAGAAAGGAACACTCAAGGCAAATTACCCGTCTTACTTTCCTCCGAAATGCCGCATAGCGTCGTGGAAAAAGAAAGCGTTCGCCTTTCGAAGTCTCGTTCTGCCAGCCCGCGATCCTCTTGTTTTGATCCGAGGACCGTGGGACGTGTCGCAATTCCGAGAGCGCGGGGCATCGCAATAAAAGCGGTAACGGATCTCTCAGAGACTTCTTTTTTTTTTTTCTTCTTTTCTTTTCTTTTTTCTCCGGTAGGGAACGCAGCCCTAATGGGCGGCTGCGTTTAGCTGGCCGGTTAGTAGGGCGCACCAGTTAACCGCGAAGGAAGGGTCAATGTATTTAAGTCGGATAATGGCCGGCGGAGTTTCCCCTCGCTCTCCTGCGTCACGTCCTGTGCTCGCCGATGTGTTCCCCTCGTCGGCGGCGGATAAAACGCCGGCAAATTGGCGACATCTTTGAAAACCGAGACCACCCGGCGGCCATATTGAAAGCGCGGCGAAAGTGGGTGAAAAAGAAAAAAAAAAAGAAGTGGGATCCCCGGAACTGCCGCATCTTCCGCATTGCTTTATTTTCCCCTCGTCTTAAGGGGGTTGGCAGCTTGTGAGATGCGTCCTAGTCAAAGTTAAATTTAAACAAGAGTAAAGAGGCATAGAAAATATTCCCTTACAGGGGCGCTCGATTTTAAGTTCAACAGAGATTTGAGTGGAGCGTATTTCACGATCTACCGCCCCCTCGTAAGGTCCTTCCGCCCATGTAATTCAATTTTCTATAAACTTTTTTTTTTAAGAATGTTTTCAAGCGTATAGAAGTGGATGGGTGTCAGGACCTTCGTCAGGGCCTGCACATTTCCGTAAAAAAATGCCAAACGACTCGATACACTCAGGTTCGGGGAAAAGTTTCATATAACGAAGCTCCTCGGCCGCAGCTTTCATATCACCTTAAGGTGAAGTGAAACCCTCTCCAAATCAGTCGATTCGAATACACTTTTTTTTTTTTTTTTTCCTAGACTCGAACCAATCGTCGCCCTCGGACTTGATCTTGATTCATCATTCGGCCAAGGTCGGCACACCTGTTGCGAGTTTAAGGATATTGGAACAACAAACTGTCGGAAACTTTCACACATGACTCGTTATCATCTAAGAATTGTCCTGACGCATTCGAAATTTGGATTTTTGGAAAAGATTTGTTAACTTAAGGGGGGGAGTCCCTCTGCATTCAATTAGGGCCCCAGACAGCATGAATCCAGAGGATTTCTAGAGTTTTACCTCGATCACTTTAAAATTATCGTAAGAAAACGACAGGTGGAGAATGCGATTTGGTACAATACCCAACATAATCCGACCCAGCTGCCGATATATAAAAACGAAAGTCGGCAACGTAGGCACTTGGAAAAATCTTTATCGACGCCGATCAAGTCCCTCGACGTGTTTCGCTTCACCTTAAGGCGATGTGAAAGTGGCATCGAAGAGGTTTCGTTAATAAAACTTTTTTGCCAACTCGGCTTACCGAATGGTTTGAAACTTCACAACGTGAACAGGGAGACTATAAGGAAGGTCCTGAAACTCATGAAATTTCAATTCTTTCTCAAATTTCTTTATAGGTAGTTTAAAAAAAAAAAATGAAATTTCACGAGTTTCAGGACCTACCTTAGGGTCTCCATATTCACGTTTTAAAGTATGAAACGATTTTGAGACACCCAGCTCGAGGAAAAGTTTTATGAACGATTGAGCTTTCGGATGGCCACTTTCACATCCCCTTAAGAGGCTAGGGTCCCGGGTATCGCGGTGTGCGTAGTAATCGAAGTAACGCCGCAGCCCGTGCACTGCTATATCCCCTGCATGTATAAATTCGTGAGGGTCGGATCAATCTTTCCGAGTGGCGGAGCTGGAATCTTCCTGGCACGAGGGAATCCGCACCAATCGAATCCCGCACCACCGTGCACGGATATTTCGGGGACCGGGCGGCGCAGGGGCGTCCCCGGGAACAGGAGTGGGGGGTAGCCGCCGAGACGCAGAGCGTCGTCGCGGTGCATTCAGGTTTTCCTCTGACGTCACGTCGAGCCTGTTTGACGTCATTCACCTGGCGCCTCCATGGACCCCTCGGCCTCGGTTGGTTTCGATGACCCAACCCCCCCTCCCCCCACTGCGTCCCCCTCCCTCCGTCGAGGCGGCAGCTCCAGATTTTTAGGTTAGACCTAGACGCAGCACTGCGATTTACTTTCCCGCAACCTGCATTGACACTATTTTCGGAAGGCCTCGTCGCCTTGCGGACTCCGTATCTTGCTTCCCGGAATCGCTTATCGGCGACTGATACCACCGGAATTATTAGTGAATTATTGCGGTTTGCCCCCCCGCCTTAGCGTTTTTATCGCGGGTAAGCGTCGACTCCGCCTTTCATCGGGCTTCTTCAAGACAATGGCATTTTTCTCGTCCGATTCGCCTGTCAATTGATAAAGGGATGCAAAGGTTGGGTGCAGAGGATCAGTCGTTGCGATTTTTATTAAAAAAAAAAGATGTTAAGAGTTTCTATAAATAAATTTGAGAGAAATTCAAATTTTATGGGGGTCGGCACTTTTCTTATAACCTCCGTATTCACGTTGTAAAGTTTAAAACGATTCGGTACACCCTGTTCAGAGAAAAGTTTCGTAAACGAGACCTCTTTGACGCCACTTCACGTCACCTTAAGGTGATATGAAAAGGTCATATATATGTGACAGGTATATGTATATCAATATATATATATATATATATATATATATATAAACGTGAAAATATTTACAAAGCTTTTCTCCAAACTGGATGCACCGAATTATTTGAAACTTTAACACGCGATTATGGAGGCCCCAAGGAAGAACGCGATGCTCGTGAGATTACATTTTTCGAAAAAAAATGTCCTTTTTGGTTCTTCTCCGAGATAAATTGAAATTTTTTGTGAAAAATGAAGTTTCACGAGCATCGCGTTCTTCCTTAGGGCCTCTATAATCTCGCGATGAAGTTCCAGATGATTCGGTGCACCAATTTGGAGAAACGTGTCATAAATATTTTGACTTTTTGGGGTGTATATATGAGACGTTTCATATCACCTTAATGCCGAGATATACCATTGATAGGCATTGATTTCTATAATTTTCGGTGCAATTGTTGCCTGTTGATGTTTTGAACAAGGCGATAGTAAGTTGAGCGAAGCTTCCAAGATTTTTTGGTACGCATACTTAGTACGTATATTACTATTTTTTGGTATGTATACATGACACGTTTAATATTACCTTAATGCCGAGACATACCGTTGATAGGCATTGTTTTCTGTAAGTTTCGGTATAATCGTTTCCTGTTGATGTTTTAAACAAGGCGGTAGATAGTTGGGCGAAGCTTCCAAGATCTGTTGGTACGCATACTTGATGCGTATATTACTATTTTTTTGTATTTATTTATGACACGTTTAATATCACCTTAATGCCGAGATATACCGTGGATAGGCATTGATTTCTATAACTTTCGGTGTAATCGTTTCCTGTTGATGTTTTGAACAAGACGATAGTTAGTTGGGCGAAGCTTCCAAGATTTTTTGGTACGCATACTTGATACGTATATTACTATTTTTTGGTATGTATACATGACACGTTTAATATCACTTTAATGCCGAGATATACCGTGGATAGGCATTGATTTCTGTAACTTTCGGTGCAATCGTTGCATGTTGATGTTTTGAACAAAGCAGTAGATAGTTGGGTGAAGATTCCAAGAACGGTTATGGTCGTCTTTACACCTGCGGGCCAGGTGCTAACCTGGTTGGTATTGCCTCGTCCAGGAGCGACAGTTGAGCATCAACGGGCGTTCCATGCCCCTGTTTACGGCCCATGGGTTCTAGGGCTTTCTTTTCTCGTTGCCTTCCCTGGTCGTAAGGCCGTTGCTTTTGACGGTTGCATGCACGACAATGGGATCGACCTGAAATGCAGCTGTCCCAGTGAAGCAATTCTTTTGCATAGAGTGCAATATTCAACGGGAGTTCCCGTACCATCCAAGAATCGTCGTCGGCATTCCGCAATGCCGAGTTCCGAGTTCTTCTAAATAAAGGGTTAGATACGCACATTTATTAAAGCTCCGGAGCAGGACACCATATGGGGGACGCCAATGTAAAAACGCAAACAACGTGACGTGTCTTTGTATTTGTGGCTTCAGTAAAGATACAATAGCTCCATTGTTCTTAAACATACCGTACTAACTTACCTATGTATATACATACAGCCCTAACCTTCGTTGCTATAGCAAACAGCGCTACTGATCTAATAGGCTATGTGAACCTGGAATCCTGTTTGAGGCACAAACAAAATTAAAAGGCTTATTGAAATGTTTCTGCGATGTAGACGTTTGTGTCATGTTGAGTTTTGTTTGTCGTTTATTTTTTTTATTATTATTTTTATTTCTTTTATTTTATTATATATAACCAAAAACCAGAGCTGTTCAAAAAGATTAAGAAATTCCGAAATCGTGGAAATTTGGATTTTTCGGCTTTATTGGGTTCTTTGACGTTAGGGAAATTCAGAACCCCTCAGAACCTCGAAAAGGTTAGAATGACCATTTTCAAGATTTCTTTTTTGTCCATGACTTAGGCTTCTCGCGGAGGCTTGCATTAATTTGCACAAGTAAGTCGCGGGGAGTACTTATGCTGAGAATTTTTTGAGACCGATAGGAGTAGTCTCTGGCAGTGAACGAAATTAAAGTCCTAACATATCAATCCTTCGTCAAACTATTCTCCGAACTGAGTGTACCTGATCGTTTCAAACTTTACAACGTAAATATAGAGGGTATAAGAAAGGTCCTGACACCCGTGAGATTTCATTTTTTTTTTTTTTTAATTGCAGAAATATCTATAAACAAATTTTACAAAAACTTGAAATTTCATGGACGTCGGAACCTTCCTTATAGACTCCATATACATATTCCAGAGTTAGAAACGATTCGGTACACCCAATTCGGAGAAAAGTTTCATAAACGAGTCCTCTGGTGCCACTATCACATCACCTTAATCAGGAGACCATTCGCATTATTCGCGTCATTCGCATCATTCGCATTATTCGCACCACTCGCAGTGCGGCCGTACGCCGCGTTGCGACGTCGGCATCTAAAGCATGCGTCAAATATTCGAAGTCCTCCATTAGGAGGAACCCAGTCGGCCAAAGAGAGGCGAAGAGATGGACACACAGAGAGACGCAGTAGGACATTCCCGAGCGGACACGGGAAACGCTACGATCTCCGCTCGACCGCTTCTGGTTCGACCCCCAGGGGTCGCGGCGCCGCCCCGACCCCGCGGAAACATCAATCCCGGCGACGGGGCGCTTCCCCGATCCGCCGTTAGAGGCGCCGCGATCGGCCCCGTAGGCTCCTAACCTGCAAGAACGCGACTCCCGGGCGGTAGCAGGCGCGAAAGTGGCCGTTACGACATCGCGGCCGATCGAAGACCCGGCTCGACCTATCACCCGGAGCAACCGGTGACGTCACGTAACTCCAAACCATGCCCCCTGGCGACAGCCTCCCACAATTAACGGGGTTAATTGAGGCGACATAGATACCCCCTGAATCCGTCTTACCGGGTAAATCCGGTATTCGGTGAAGTCCGGCGTCGCCGTTGGTCAATGTCTAAAACGCGCCCGCGGAGAGGTGCTTAGATCCGGGGTAGGGAGGGAGGGAGGAGGGGTAACCTGTGACCGGCGGCAGTGGCGCCGCGGCGCCAGCGTCGCGACTTCCCCTCCTCTCCCCACTCACTTCGTCGACGCCGCTCGCACTCGACGTCGGGCAGTTCTGGGTGTGGTCCGGGGAGCCTCCGGCCGGCGCGTCGGCATCGCGCGCGCACTTTTTTCCCCGAAACGGGATCGCTGTCGGTCGGCCGACTCGTCGTAGGCCCTTCTCTCGTCTTATACGGTCGAAGGGCAAATGTTCGCGGCCTCGTTCGTTCGCCCGACGCGCCGGCGAGCCACCATCGGCGGGTCCACCTGACGACCGTGCACGCCATTACGCGCCGCCCGGACGAGCTGGGGAACGCGGGTGGATGAGAAGGGCGACCCCGGTGCCAGTTCCAAGATGGCGGACGCGAGTGACCGGTGGAAACTGTCGTGAGGCGGGTGCATGGGGTGGGCGCCGATACCGGAAAGGCTTAGCCGGCTCGAGGCGGCTCCGCGACTGACCCGGAAGGGCTCGGCAGAAAGTAAGGTTAAGGGAACGTAAGTGCCCCGTTAAGGTCACACTTTTCGACTTATCCTGGCTATTCGTATCCCGGGGTATAATTCGTGAGTTGTCCTATAGGTCCGCGGGTCTTGTGGCGTGATAGCGGTCGAGGAGTGGCGCATGATGGAAGAGTCGACGGATCTATATCTAGGGCTATCTTACCCACTTCTTCGCGAGGTAAAGACCCCTAGCGGTTGGAGAAAGCGGGGAATGGGAGGAGGTTCGATTGAGGCGGAGGGCGTGGATGATCGATTCGTGCGCGGAGATCGGAAGGAACTTATCGACGTCTGTGTACTGCTTTCGGGGAAATTGGTTACGCTTGGTAGCAACGGGGAAACGCGGGGGCCTCTTCAGGCTTTTCGCTTAGAGGGGAACGATTATTTTTACGGTTCGTACACATGCTGGGATAAATGTGGCACCTCGTAAGGCGCGAAGTGTCTGGAGAGGATATCTAGATTCGGCGCGAGCATGAGTAAACACCGAGAAACACGCGCTCGACACCTGCCGCTCGGATAGGGATCGACATCGCTAATTACGTTCTAGTTTGGTGTGGCTCCTCCACGTGGAACAATTCCCAGTCCGAGTGTTGGTTATTTCTTCGGATGGTCTATTTCTTGGTTATGTGCCAAGGGCGGTCCCTTGTGGTGGATAAGTCGTTACTAATTGGGGCAGGGAAGGAGCGCTTCGCTTTTTGGAGACGGAGGTAAAGGTCCCGATGGCTCGATGTTCTTTTAAGGGTCCAGCGCGTTAGGCGACAGAGGGAGAGAAAAGGAAGAAGAGAGTCCAAGTGGCCATCTAATGGCGTTCTATTTTCGGGCCGTGAGAGACACCACGGCTTGGGACTCTTCGCCGAGGGCCGGTATTCTCGGGACACCGGTGTCATTCTTTATGGGTGCTCGATACTCGCACGCCCTCTCGTGGGATTATCGCATTATAGAAGGGAGGTTGGGAGAGCGCCTGCGCGAAACTATGCCAGCGCTGGCGAGCCGCCTCGCGGAAGCGAGGCGAGGTTCCTCTCGCCGGGTTTCGAGGATTACGGGAAGAAAGGGAAACGGCACTTTTTGACCGATTAAAGGGATTCAAAGGTGGCTCCTCGCGACGCCTTTTCCGCCCGTCTGAATCCCCCACTGTTTCTCGAGGTCTTCCGTAATAATCGGACGAAGTTTCCTTTCGTTTTTTTTTCCCCCTTCATTTTAATCCAGCGTATTGTATCCGTTATTGATTTGTACGTCGGGTATCTGTTTAACAAGTCATGCGGCCTTCTGCCCGACATCTTCATTTCTCGCCGTTTCTTGAGGTCTACTGTAATATAGAGTGGGGGGAAAAAATTCCCGCGCGAGCTTCGTTCAATTGTTTTAAGATCAGACCGTGTACTTTTCCTTCCTACCCTGTAATTGGGCGAGTTTTCATTTCATTTTTTCTTTTCATTTACTTTAATTCGGGATTTTTCTTTTGTGTGGCATTGATTTGCATGTCGGATATCTGTTTAACAAGTCATGCGGCTAAATTCGAGCCTGACATTGCTCTACGTCACGTTGATGCTATTACGTGTCCGTTGGCATTGTATGCTAATCGGCGAGAACGGAATGATTTATTCAGCGCGGACTTGGGATTGGCTTTCAATTTGGTCGCGATGCGTAGACGCTGCGTAGACGCGGATGCTCTTTTATAGTAAGAACGGCCGGTAGAGGATAGGCAAATGCGAATAGTTGGCAGCTACCGAAACTATTCAACAGGTTTGGCACGTTTGTCGGTTGATGGGAAGACCGGCTGAATGAAAGTAAAGGAACTCGCCACGGGACGATTGAACCGATTGCTTGGCAAAACGCCTGCACCTGTGGAGTATCCTTACACTTTGATAGCACTTGAAGGGAGAATGGGTGGGGGGGGAGAAACATTGACATTAATTTCCGGGGATACTTTGGCGGCGGTAGCTACGACATTGCCGACGCAAACAAATAGTTTGTGACGTTTGTATTTATGACGCTCTACGAATGGATCTCGTAAACCTGTTTTTCCAGTTTCGGTGGCATTGGAAATTGGCCTGACGTTGTTTCCTGCATCAGGAAGTTTATTTAGGCACGCGTTTATTTTCGGACACGCTTCAAAGTATATATTCACGTAACTTAGCGAACTTCAGGCGATTCGAAATTGTCACAGTTGAACGGTATCGAACCCTCCGGAATATGAATTGGCGAGCTAGAGGGTTGTAATTATCCATTTAACTGGACTGAACGCTTTATTTGCGATCTTAGTTGATCGTTTAGCTCGTGTCGTTTCAAAGCCGAGCTTGATAAGGCCTATTGTTCGTTTTGAAGTCCGATGTAACTAACGTGTGTCGCTTAATTTTCATCGTTTTCCTGCGAGAATAGTGTGGTTTTCTGAAATACTCTTTTTTTTGTTTTCAGGATTGGCGACGATTTCGTTAAAGGTTGTCAAAGCTGGCGCGAGTGGCGGGAAGTGCCGAAGAGACCTGGCCCTGTTTCCGGTTCCTGTCTTGCTAGCGACGGTAGCGGGCTCGAGAGCACGGAGAACAGCAGGAACAAGTGGAAAGATCTTTCCTCGTAGAAGAGCCAAAGAGTCGAACGTGGCGAGGTTCAGGAACACGACAAATCAGGCGAAGCGGCGGCGTGACCCTGGCCCCCCGTAACAATTAACCCCAGCCCCTTGGACCACGCTTTTTTGACCAGGAAATCCAACCACGACCCCTGAAAAACCTTCGCATCCGTATAAGCGGTTGCAGGAAGCCGCAAATTCTACACACACGGTCACATCTACGGACGCATCATGAATGAACTAGACAGCCTTCGCCAAGAGGCGGAGACTCTGAAAAATGCCATTCGTGTAAGTGGCTTAGTCGTCCCTGCTCCCTGTAAATTGTTCAATCGTTCAGTTGTTTTATCTGCACGGGAAATGGCGTTACGTCAGAGCAGCATGTCTTTGTTACTCCATTTGAATTTGAAAAGATACGTACAATGGTGGGACGTTTGGAGTCAAAATCAAAAGAACGTAATCAGTGACTGACAAGAGGAATGGCGGAATTATAGTGTACAACTGCTATCTGAACACATACTCTTTCGGAGCTTACCTTTTGTCAGAGATACCTGAGACTTGTACCCAGATGTTCGTTTGGTTACGCGGTGTTGTTAGTCCTTAAAGGTATACTGATAATAGGAGGCTCAGGGTCGAGCTGAGATTTTCTTAGTTGCAAAGGCCGTTGTCAAGATAAGAATGAGAAGAAAACTAATTGGCGGCATCAAAGGTGGAGTGGTGGATAAGGTCATGTCTTCTGCATGAAAGTAACCAGTCATGGATTTCTTGTCGAGGTCGCGGTGGCCAAACAGCTACCTAGAAAGCCTTGAGTACTTCTGGCAGGTTCAACCAGGGATTAACCACCTTGTTTTGTTTCCTTCCGGTCTATGACTATTGGCAAGATCAACCAGGGATTTAATTTACTAATTTTATTTCTTACTCTTGATACTCGATACATGCTTCGCATGTGGCTACTGAATTGATCAACCAGGCATTTAATGAATGGTTCTACTCCTATTTTCATCGCTTTCAAAGCGTCGTGTATACTATACAAGTAGGTTCCAATTGCATGGAATTTAGTCGTATGTCTCATAAACGGAATTTCTTATCGCTCCACTTTCCGGTCAAGTTATTATCTCCTTAAACCTGACCGCAAACATTGACTGTTCTGTCTCAACAAAGTCGGCCTTCTAAAATTTCCGAAGGAAAGTACTAAGTCCTAAAAATGGCATAGCATGTTCGCGCTAACCAGACCATTAAAAATGCCTCAATTGTCGAAGGCTTTGTACGATTTTCTTGGCAACGACGGAGTGTTGGCAGTATTGTTCAGCTTGTGCCAAAGGACGGTGCAACAGTTATTCGTGCAACAGCGTTGCATTGTTTTAAAAGATAAAAGTCTCGGGCATCTCGCCACCGGAGTGCACTTAGTACTAAACACTTGTAGCCCTTGTTCAGCTCCTAACGAGCCGGTGGCTTCTTTTATTTCTGTGCCTCCCGAAGGCCTGTCCACCAACTTTGGTAATACCCGACGACCTTCTTCATTAAAAAGTCGATCGCCTCGATCAATTTGCGCATTTCCTCCGTGCCTCTGAATAATCCATGCATTTTTCTTGTGTCTCGTGACGTTCACGGTTCAATGAAAATAAAGAAGAACCTACGTTGGTTCAGAAAGAACAAGTCTCTTAACAAAGGTTCTTATCTATAAAAGTAGAATTGTTTCCTCGTTGTGAGCGATAAGGAAATTTGCCTCCGGGCCGTGACGACGGTCGCAACGACTAGAACAGTTATGTCTGAATTCCATAGTCTACCGTCATGGCCGACTATGCAAAGGAGACGCATTGTATCGACTTAAGTTCACATTCCTTACGTGTATTCAAAAGCAATACCTTCTTTAGACGCGGTCGTTAGATTTAAACACGGTCATTTCTCTAGTTAAACAACTATCATTATTTTCCCATCAATGCTGTCGTGGCATTGATTTACCTCTTCGCCTTATCCTCGTCTACCTCTGACGAGGATACAAATTTTCCGCCACGTTGCAAACACGCAGATTCGCTAACGATGCATTACGCGACCGTATGCTCTATCTCGATCTGCCCTTCGACTTATCTGACACTCTCAACACTCTTTTGGGAGAGTGCATTCAGCGCATTATGTAGAATACTTCCAAGAGGCGTCTTATCTGCATTGACCTCGCGGCTCTATTGGATCGGGAGAAATGTAGAGGCAGAGAGAGAGGAGGGTGCGAATATGTGCAGTCTCCAAGGGAATGCATTCCCGTGGTAACAGTAGTTACATTCTTCCTGTTATTGCCAATGGTGTGGAAGTTCTTCATGGGGTTGAAGGTGGTGATGGTAGGGCGCGGCATAACGCTGCTTCCCCGATCAATACGCCACCACCACTAGTAGCCTCCTCTAACTCTCCCTCTCTCTATCTCTCTTTCTCTCTTCTCTCGTTCACCCTCGCACGTTCACCCTTTCAGAATGTCACGCCGTCTCTGTCTCTCTGTTCCGCCCTCTAACACTTGCCTTCCACCCTCGTCGATGTACTCTCTCGCCGAGTATCGGCGTTACGTATATAGTCTACGCACCCTATCTCACATACGCGGGCCACGTGAATACGTGGGTGGGGAAGTTAGGGGTGGAAAATGTCCCGGAGACCGCGCGGTATGGCGAGCAACCGCTGCGAGCATTCACCTCCTCGTGATTCGTCACTCCCTACTAAGCCATGGTTAAGAAACTGCCTTGAGAATACCAGGAGACGTAAAAAACAACTTCTGCGATCATTCGCGCCTACTTTCCGTGTATTACGCCGAAGAGCGACGAAAATTTCCACTGAGAGTAGAACTACCTTTCTGAAGTAAAAGAACGAGTTTCCTGGTATACCATATCTGTAAATTTGCCGACTACAGGGATTTCTTATGTCATTTCTGAGCTCACAATGCGACAAACAACCACTGCGAGCGTTCATCATCTGAGATTCGTTGCTTATGAAACCGATGCTAAGTATCGCCTTCGAGAGAGAAATTAATTCAGAATCTTGAATGCGAAATTGTCGTACTGGAACTCACCGAAGTTGTGAACAATTAGAGTGTGTTCGGATAATGATGTTACGACAGGCTCTTAGCTAAGGAGGATGGTAGGGGGACAAATGTTGGATCTGTAGTCTTATGATGTTTGGGCACGTTGTAGGATGCAAGAAAGGCAGCATGCGACACGAGTCTTGCCCAGGCCACTTCGGGAATGGATCCCATTGGCCGGATACAAATGCGAACCAGGCGTACTCTACGAGGACACTTGGCGAAGATATACGCGATGCACTGGGGCAGTGACTCTAGGTAGCTATCTTCATCAAGAAACTCTTCGGTCGCTGACGGCCTGAACATTTCATATCAACATCGAAGCTCCTTTGCTGAGACTCCCCTAATTGTCTCCGTTTTTCGATTGCTCGGTAGAAATCTGGTGTCGGCGTCTCAAGACGGAAAGTTGATTGTCTGGGACAGCTACACAACCAACAAGGTCCACGCAATCCCGCTTCGCTCTTCATGGGTCATGACGTGTGCGTACGCACCATCCGGAAGCTACGTGGCTTGCGGCGGATTGGACAACATTTGTTCGATTTACAGTCTTAAAACTAGGGAAGGTAACGTCCGAGTTAGCAGAGAGCTTCCTGGGCATACCGGGTACCTGTCTTGCTGTCGCTTCCTCGATGACAACCAAATCGTCACCAGCTCTGGAGACATGTCTTGGTGAGGATGCTCGTCTAGTCTTCGATCTTGGATATTTCTCGCCGATAGAATTCATCCTTCCGATGTCTGCTCGGTGCCTGAGGCGGTTCGGCTTCGGATCATTTACATTGACGCGATGAGTCGTATTTTCATTTCCTTCCTCGTATATCCTCAGCGCTCTTTGGGACATCGAGACTGGGCAGCAATGCACGTCATTCATCGGCCATACGGGAGACGTAATGTCCTTGTCCTTGGCACCGGATATGCGTACTTTTGTCTCGGGAGCTTGCGACGCCAGTGCGAAACTCTGGGACATCCGCGAGGGTTCCTGCAAGCAGACTTTCCCAGGCCACGAGAGCGATATTAACGCCGTCACGGTAAACCATCGTTTGGATACAAAACTGTTACGGGAGAAGGAAGACAGACCTTGAGGGTCTTTTATTTCCGCAGTTCTTCCCGAACGGCTACGCATTCGCGACGGGCTCCGACGACGCCACTTGCAGACTCTTCGACATCAGATCAGACCAGGAGCTGGCGATGTATAGTCACGACAACATCATCTGCGGTATCACGAGTGTGGCCTTCAGCAAGAGCGGACGATTGCTGCTAGCTGGCTACGATGACTTCAACTGCAACGTTTGGGACTCTATGAAGTCCGAACGAGCCGGTATGTGGATCGTTCACAGAGGGTCTTCGACTTCCTGGAGAGATGAGAGATTTCCTTCTTGAGCCCTTCTCTCTTAGTGGTGTTCCTTGAATTCCCAAGCTCTACATCTCCTGCACCTCTGATTACGCGCCCTATGGAATCTAGTTTACTTCCAAATTCAATATTCAGATCGATGCTTTTCGGTGTCTTGAGGGATTCCATTTCAATGAGACCTTGTTCGTTAAGTACTTTGGAGTGGTCATTGCTTCCCAGTGAACACCGCTTTCTTTTCAGGAATCCTCGCCGGGCACGACAATCGCGTATCCTGCCTGGGTGTCACGGAGGACGGCATGGCGGTGGCGACGGGTTCCTGGGACTCGTTCCTCCGCATCTGGAACTAACTTGGGGATCGGGCCACGACGTTCCTAGGTAGAACCTACTGCAGCCAATCAGCATACAGCATAAGCATCAAGTATCACCACCTGAGGACCGAGCAGGTCGGCCCGGCCGGCTCGTTCGCGGACGACCTGCCAGGAACACCCGAATTGACCCTGACCAGGAGCTGCGACCACCTGGGCAGCACCAGTGACGGCAGCAGTAGTGCTAACAGCAAGGAGGTTTTGGGCTGCGCCGGTAAGGGCGCCATCAGCCGCCGGAAACGGATCGTCGTCGACCTGGCCTGGCGGCGCGGCAAGGTCGGCGACAAGGCTGCTCGCGAGTACCAGCGTTTCTAGGAACTTAGACGAATCGCGCATCCTAAACTACGAGGGAGAACTAAGGAAGCGAGCGAACCGGGAAGTAAAAAGAGGTCGCCGAGAGAAGACTAACAAGGAGAGAGGAAGTTCCAAGCCATCAGCCAAATCTCTTCGTCATTGCCATCGCCATCGACCTCTCGTTACCGGGAGACTCCTCCAAGGCCTGGTACCACCGCTCGGGAGTGAAGGGTCCGCCATCTTGGTACCACCAGGATGATCCAGGTCCGCCACTCGAGTCTTTTCGTGCGGAAGACCATCGTCTTCGGCACTCTGCCAGGTGTCCAGGTCACGACCGGGACCGCCAACAGACGCGGTTCCTAAGAGGTCTCTGCCGACGAGACCTTACTATCCGGACATTGTTGTTTTAGGTTTTTTTTACTCGCACAAAACCAAGTCGTAGAGGAGGAGAGATCAAGTGTACGAGCCATATTCCGTACGCCATCGTGACACCGATTTAGCGGGCGCGCACCCACGTTCACGCATACACACACGCACACCTGAGATATGCAGGACACTGCGTTTGGGCGCACACAAGGACGCTCAAGCTTCGAGAACAGGAAAGAAGAAAATGGAGACGAAGTCAAGCAGGACCGGAGCCCCCGCAGGAGGGCTCTGCCCCGTATTCCGCGTCATCCCAATAAACCCCATCTAACGGCGATTATTTAAATACGCGAGTCCCCAACCAAGGGCCCTCGACTGGTCTCGCCTCGTTCCTTCGTTTTTTCTTTTTTTTTTTTTCCGCTAAGGCGCGAACCCCGTTTGATAGGATCCCTTTGAACGGGGAGAGCTAGATAGAAGACGGTTTTTGATTGATGGTTCCTCGTGTTCCGTCAAACGTTCCGTCTAGACCAATCAGACATCAAACGTGGTTCCAGCCTGCTGGACTCAACCTAGGGTGCATTGCAAAACCTTACTCGAGTGGCTTGCACATTGAATTAATTTGCGGAAACGTAACTGTGAAAAGGTTGACAGTCGACTTGTCGAATGCCTTGGATAAGGCTTTGGAAAGTTACTCTAGGGAATTTTTTTTTTTCGAACGATCGGCGCGCCATCTATTGATCAACGATTGTACCTCGTACGGAGTACGACTCACGGAGGCGTCTCCCGTAGGGAGCCGACCTCGCGTGCGGCGTTATTTTGTAATTTGTATCGTTATTTATTTTGTATAGTATCAGTACCGCCTGAGGCCGCGCCCTGGGTGTGTCTTGGCGCAAAGAGGGAGGACCGGAAGTGGCACTAGGCGAACTAAGGCGACCGCGGACGAAAGAACCTGGATGAAAGATCCAGATTCTTAAGACCGAAGGGCTTTAAATCTGCTTTCGAACGAATTACTCATTGTTTTACCCTGTTCTCCTTTTTTTTCTCAAGGATCGCATCCTTGGTACTTTAATGGAGACGTGTTTCGGCGATCGAGATCGTTTACGTACTATTCTTTTTAAGGTAGATTTGGGGTCCTTCGTTCTTCAGGAGTGATTCGCGTGTCGATTAATGGTTGAAATGCAAAGATTTCTCGACGTGGACAGAAACGTCGGAGTCGTTCCTCCCTCTTAGGACCGGTCGTCTCGATTCATGGCGACGCCAACAGATGGCGGATCCGTCGGGGGCGCCTCAGGGTCGGCGCAAGGGGTGAAGAATTCGGGCGTAAATCCCGGGGATCCCTCGAATCTCCGAAAATGTCTAATTCTCCCTGCAGACGCGCGATTACGGACCTCTTGGTGTATTTAACGCGCGCTCGCCCCTGCGGGGATAGTATAACGACATGAAATATTTAATGTAAAACGTGTAATCGTTTAGTTTGTAGCCATCTGTCCTGCTAAAGTGAAGAAAGAGAGCAAAGGAAGAGATATGACTTACCGCTATCGTGACTCCGCTCGACACACCCGGCCTCGACAGCCCTGCGTCATATTTGGCCATCTTGGAAGACTTCCTCATCCGGAGAAATCCCCCATTGGCTATTGAGGGGACCCTAGACGAATCTCCCCACGTGTCGGCGCCCTTTGAAATTCGGATTAGTGATTGGTATCCGACCATGTACGCACTCGGTACTCGGATTTACATCGTGCGTCGTGTTAAAGGTATGCACAATCTCAGTTTATATCTCAAATACTCGAACGATCGGTTCGCGATTACTAGAACGAATTGGCGAATCGAGTACGAGTACCGGGTATTCGAATTTCGAGCCACGCGGACTCGGGCCCGCGAACGCCAAGGGGGCATTTCTCCGATTGAGCATCCAAAGAGACCTGCGCGATCAGGGAAACAAGATGGCCGCCTTTACATCGCAAATCTCTTCTGCTTCTTTTGTACGGGGCTTTTTCTACTTACCCGCGACTCCAATCCGAGAGCTGCTGCGTGTCGAGAGCGTTCGATTTCTTCTTTTCTGTTTTTTCACTCTATTTTCTCCCTCACTCTGCCCTCCATATCCCCCTTTCCCCCTGCCCCACCCCAAGCAACCCGAGTTTCTGTCGACTAGGTGTTTCAAACTGTGTATGCATTTAAAGCAACATGAATAATATTAATAATAATTGTAATTTATAATTATATTAATATTTAATATATAAGTACGCGTAAGGAGATACCGATAACAGTTAACACTGCAAAATATATATAGATAGATAGGTAGATAGATATATACGTATGTAATGGTTCGAACGCCTTCCGGCGACCATGCTCTACTTCCGTTACGTCACGTATGATTTACATTCGGTTCGTTTCTCTTCGACATCCATCGACGTGTTCTTCGCAGATTTTGGAGAGAATAATGGAGCAAAAGGTTCACCCGATGGGATTTCCCGAGATTTGGAGCACTGGGCGGGTTTTCGAAAATCTATCGTGGTCGGATATTCGCGGAGTGCGGTCGCGCATTAGGGCTCCACGTTTGCGGAATCAGGTTTTTATTTCTAACGCCATTCGAGAGATATGTATGGATGATGTAATGTGTAAATTACAATGGAATTATGTGGAATCATCGATCGGAAGTTTATTTTACTTGCGGGGGAATCCGGGGGCCGGTGGCCTCTAGGAAATCCGTCGAATATCGGTTGATCGGCCAATGCCACGCGGACGCCATTTTGGTTTCGGTTAATTCTACCTTATGATGGGATTTCGGTGTCATAGTTTTTGTAAGCTCGTAACTAGAGGAAATCGGATACCATGTCCTGTTGTATTAATGCGGGCGCGTTTTTGAAAGACAGAGATATTGCACGAGTGTTCCATTAAGTCTAACCAGATCTGAAAAGAACGCGCCATGTCTCGCGGCTCCTACTTTTCTAGCGGTCGGTGAAGGAAGGGAGAAGCGATGCCAGCGCCATCTCTTCCTTCGAGTTTTCTTCGCGACTTCCAGGATATAATCACGAGTTTAAAAAACGTTACTGGTTAATGACCGTTAGAAATCGCGCGTGGAAATCTGTTAGCTAACGCGTACTCGGAGATGAATGGTGCGCATTCAAGATGGCATCGGTCCTCCGGTGTTTCTGGTTTTGCTCGTTTTACACAAGAGAAAGGGAGGTCTTGGCTGCGTTTTAGTTCGTCCGGTGGATTCATTTGTCAGAAGCGCAGTATGCGGTTTCCTCGAGATCTATTATAAATATCTGTTATCTTGCGAAACGAGCAAAACTTGTTCTCCGGGAAGGACGCGGGATCGGTATTCTCGGGTCGGCCATATTTACCTTCGGACGCATTGTGATCGATGTAGATCGAAAGAGACCGATCGGGTGCTTCCGGAGGGAACTAAAATGGCGGACCTGAGCCCACCGTGTCTTAAAGAGTCGTCGAGGTAAGGAATTCGACTCTGGGAGGTTATGTGTTTCATTCTCTCAACGTATACGCATGTATCGGACAGATTAGTCCCTCGCAATTCGTTGATCGATTATTTCCTAGTGTTAATGCTGATCGAGATTTAAGGAACTTCCGGTTGTGCTACGATCGACGACCAGGAGCGAATTGAGAATTGGGAAAACAAATGGGGAGGAAGAGATCGAGAGAGAGGAGCTGGAAGAAGGCCAGGAAGGATAAATACTATTATTCGCGCGACAGTACAATTCGACTAGGGAAGAAAAATTGACGGAGGGAAGTGTTAACAATCGTAATTCACAACAGAGGACCAATGGCGGGTCGTAGGGAGGAAACGCGCGGGCCGGAAGTCGACAAGATGGCGGAGCGAGCGTGGCTTCCGGATCCACGGCCTCAACCGAACCACATTATATCTCTTCGCAGACCGAAACGCTGGGAAAACTTCGATAAAGTACGCGGAAAACTGTGGAATAACAAGTTCATCCGAGCGCCGCCGCGCGGCGGCGTCGGCAACTAAAACCAAAGAAGAACCCCTTTCGGCCGTAAACAGGAAGAAATGAAGAAATCCCGAGAGATACGACTGACTGCACGCGGACGCTAACTTCATTCTGAAAAGAAAAAAAAAATTAACGCATATATATATACACACACACACGCACGCATACACGTACACGTCTCTATATCGAGGACGGGACTTTGTGAATCGTTCTTTGTGATAATTCCCTCGACTAATCAGCATATTAGTCCTAATCCACATCGCGATCACCGACATTACTCTCCCCCACCCTGTCCATTCCCTTCGCTGAAGCCAAGAAGGAGGGTTCCCGACTCCGCCATATTGAATTATTGTAAGCACAAAATAATTGGTCATTTCTATCGAAGATAACTCTGATGTAACTGTCCTGTGTTTGCGGCGACATATCGTCTGCGCTTTAGTCACGTTAAATTATCGTACTCATATATTGGTGACTCCTCCTCGAGTTGCCAACGGTATACCATTGTAACACTATACAATTGCAATGATTAATCGCCTGCTCGTCGCCATAATGGATTATCGTGCGTATATGTAATTGGTGATTTTTTATAGAGTTATCAGTACACACAGTGATATACAGAATGTTTTATATCTGCAGTGATTAATGAATTGCAGTTCCGCCATATTGAATTATTACGCACACGCGTATGTCCATAGTAATATGCCATTGATCGGTACCATCGAGTCGGAGTTACCGTTCCTCTAACGGAAACAGCGAAGTCTTGGGCGTTTAGGTCATTTTTTCCATCCCGCACGTACGATAATTCAAGAGTTCGCGACAATTCCTCGAATCTTATCGCTTCTTTTTCATATCGGTAATACCGGATACGTGCGCGCGCGCGCCGTAATTCCATAAGGCGGAAGCGGCGACCGAAGTGTACTTCACTGGCCGAGTCTCCGGGTGACAAATCGCGAGCTTCGCAGCCTTTCTCCTTACTCTTATAATTTTATCGACCGAGGATAACGTTTAGTTAGATCGTAGATCGGCTCGTTTCCATCGGCAGAGCCGCGAGCGGCCGTTGGCCGAAACTCGGTGAAGCGATCGCTTGACAGACCCGGGCGCTCGGTCGGTAAGGCAGGCAGCTGGTCAGACCAAATCTATCGATAATTAACGGGAGAAAGAGAGATTAATTAGGTGACGATATATAACTGGTAGAGCAACCGTGGTGGGTCTTTGATCATTTCTTTGTGCGCGTGTCGTAGCTCGTGGCCTTGCGAGAGGCTTTTTTGTATTTCGGAGCACTGCGGAGAGCTTTCGAAGCCAGGTTTTTCATTAATTTTTACGAATCGCGAGAACGACGGCGACTTCGGGGGGGAAGGACGCGAGTCTTCGCGTCTCTAGTCATGGGTTAGGCTTCCGGGGAGATGGTCAGGAAAGAAACGAATATTAACGGAGCCAGGCTTTAAGGCTGGGCGGCCATTGTCGACGATTGCGAGCTCTCGCGGGCTTAACCTCGCCTGAAGTCGTCGATTTCCGACTTCAGAGGGGCGGTTTAAGTCCCGACGCTTCGAAGTGGACTTCCCCTGGGTTGTTCGCAATGCCGGCGGTCACGATACACCCTGCGAGGGAGAAATAACGAGGGGATGCGTGGGAGGGCGATCGAGATCGAAAAGGAACCTCTGGGAACCGTCGTAGGAGAATAAGAGTAAATAAAAAGTACTTCAAAATGACGCCGAACGTGCCATTCTATTTTTCTTCTCCAGTATTGTACTATAGTATCGTTACTCTTTCATTGTAGGATTGCAATCCGTCCTGAAGAGGCTCTCCGGCGCCGAACTTCGGCTTGGTCGCGGAACCCAAGAATTCGTCGCGAATAACGTCCGTTACATACTTTCTTCTCGAGTTTAACGAAAGTCGACGTGACCGTTTGTACGAACAAAAACGTCGAGCAGGTTTGTACTCAGATAAAGTACCGAAGAATTAATCTAAGGCGATGAATGTGCCAAGGAAGAAAGAAATTACAAATCGTAGGTAAGCTCAGTTAAAGCCTTAACTTTCGAAATCCGGTGCCCGGAAAGAAACGAACATAACCTTGGCACCGCATATACCGAAGTGAGGAAGGAGACAAAGCTCACCGAAGTGAGCTTTGGAGATGAAGTCGAACTCCAAAACTCACCGCCCTTTCTTTGCCCATACTTTACCATCTTTATGTTCACTTGATGGGGAAAACAACGCCAAGAAAACCTTTCTTTAGGCATTCGGTGCTTTGACACGTTCCTTTCGAAGCATCGATGTCTTAAGGCTATGTGAAAGCGGCATCCGAAAGCTCAATCGTTCATAAAACTTTTCTACAAACTGGGCGTCTCAAATTGTTTCATACTTTAAAACGTGAATATGGAGACCCTAAGATAGGTCTTGAAACTCGCGAAATTTCATTTTTTCTAAACTATTTTTAAAATACCTATAAACAAATTTGAAAAGAATTGAAAATTCATGAGTTTCAGGAACTTCCTTATAGTCTCCCTATTCACATTGTAAAGCTTCAAACTATTCGGTTAACCGAATTGCGAGAAAAGTTTTATAAACGAAACCGCTTCGACGCCACTTTCACATCACCCTAAACACGTAATTAGAAGTACGTTTTAAAGGCTGAGCACCAAGTGCTCAGGAAAAATCGATACGGTTTTCAGTTCTTCAGTTTCCTTGAGCCATTTGCATTTCCAAAGTCTTCGTGACTTTCCGAATAGCCGTTTGTTCTTCATTGTCGTTGTCCTTCCTGACGTTCTTCACTTCTTCGGCACTCTTCTTCTTCCCGCCTTGACTCCCGAATAATTTCGTCATGGGCATAATCTCCGTTTCCTGGTGGATAAACGTATCCGGTTATTCATTATTTTTATGTTTCTTTGCGAAATTGGCATCTTTAAGGTGATATAAAAGAGTCAACCTATATACATATATATGTATATCTGAGCAGTCAAATCGTTGAGGAAAGTATTCTCCGAATGGGTGTACCTATTCGCCCGAAATTTTACCACGGGAATATGGAGGCCCTAAAGTAGGTCCTGATACTCGGGAAATTTCATATTTCATCGAAAATTTATATATTTATCATGGACTCGAACCAACTTGGCGTGGCCCGTCCACGTTTTCGATGTTTTACGCTTCATGGAGGCTTAGAATCAAGGATGAAGAGTTTCAGGACCTAGCTCGAACAATTTTGAATACCGTAGAAATGGAATATTACAGAGTCAAGTGGGAAAATATAGGAAATACTTTCACCAACGATTGCAAGAGAATGCTGGCTTGTCCTGCGGCTAATACGTGCTAGAGCAAAAATTTAGTTACAGCTAAACGTCACAGATGGCGACGTTGTGTCGTCAAAATATATACAGTCATGAATTCGTGGGATTTCGACAGTTGTACATCGATCTTTTTATCAATTACTTTACCGAAATGACATATCGGACCCTTCAGTTAGTATAATTCTCAGGGTAGACTGTAAAAAACATCAACATAAATATAAATGTCGGTAATGGGACGCGCCAGCTAATGTTACCACTTGAGTATTCAAAACGGCATTACCACCAAAAAGGATACAGATGAATTTTACTTTATCGACGTCGATTAAATTTCTTAGCGCCTTTCATATCCTCTTAATTACCTCGGAGTGATTATCTGGAAGTCTTCCTTCGGCCATGGCCTTTCTCGAGACTTCCATCAACCCTTTCGCCGACTTTCTTCCTCGCTCCATTTCTTCCATACTCTTCGGCTTGTTAATGTTCCTCGTGATTCGCGCCTTCAGGGCTTCGTCCATTTCTTCTTGATGGACGAGTATAACTTCCGCTGGTTTGTCTACTTTATCTCCTCCTGAACCGATCGGAATCTCCTCTATTAGATGTTTATCATCTACTTTTGACGTTGTTTCCTCGGTTTCCCTTGGTGACGCGTCCTTCCTCACTTCATACTTCAAGTACTCAGGGTCGATCGGAAGCTTCTTCCGATTCTCCTTCTCGTCCACGTAGTCGAGGAACTCCTTGAAGTTCATCCCTTTTATCGTAATCTCCGTGACGTCCGTGTTTTTTAGAAGGCTCGCCAGCGTCTTGGCATCTGCAAGGATTTTTTATAAGAAAATGTGGTTTAAGGGAATTCATTTGAATTGTCGAAAATTATTCTAAAACCGTTTACACGGGTGTAATGAATATTCTTACCCGACTTTGGACGCATACTCGCAGTAGCTTTAAGGCTGTCGATTAAGGGGGAATTTTTTGACATTTTTTTCGTTTGACGAATCGAGTGAAGGCGAGAACGTTCCGAAACCTGGCTGATCGTTCTCGGACTTGGAGTCTTCTCTTCGACATTGATTTCCTCCATCAAGGACTTTTTCCGACTGATCTCTGATATGTCTTCTTCTCGCAGTCGCTTGCCGGCTTGTTTCGGTGATGTTTCTTCACTCTTGTCAAGACATAAAGAGTCCATAGTTTTTATCAGACCCTCGATATCAGGACTAGAAGACGATTTCTTCGAGGCCAAAACTCTTTCGGGACTTTCTGACTGGTTGTTTATGCCTTCGAAAATCTTGAAGAATTCGCAGATCGGTTCGGTATCTAAAAGTTCATCCTCCTCAGGATCTGGGGATGTTTTAGTCGGTTCTTCTTGTACCTCTTCCACTAAAGTTGGGAAATTTTCGGCACGCCTTTCATTAAACGGCGTCGAATCGAGAGCCGGGACTTCTTCCTTTTCTTCTGTCGAATTATCCTTTTCCGAAAGAGGGATCATCGCGCAATCGACATTTGATCCACCCTCTGACTCGGACAGATCAGTTTTTGAATTCTCCTTCGCTTGGTCTTTAGCGCCCCAAAATCTGTCCACTTTTCCATGTTTGTAAGTGATATTGTTCTCCTCCACGAATTTATCCATGTCCGCACAAAATGTCTTCATTTCCTTGCGAATTTTACTAAGCTGAGAGCTCACCGGATGTTTCATATCTTCATTAGCGAGTTCCTCGCTCGTTTCTCTTGCCTCGGAAATTTCTTCATTTCTTTTACATGGCTTTACATACTCGGACAGATCTGCAGTGTCTCCCAAGAAATTACACTTTCCTGCAACTTCAAGAACTGCACCACCTGGAACGCATAAATTCTTAAATTAATTTCCATCACTTCGTTTAATCTTTTGCGGCCATTTCTTTTTTCCTTTTCTTTTTTCCCGAAGATAATTACTTGTTTCTTCACTGTCCTCGACATTTTTCCAAGGTCTCGGCGATAAAATTCTCTCGCACTGATAAGCCTTGATTAGCTTCTCGTAATCTTCCGCGGAGTAATCTTCGATTCGACGATTCTCCATCATTAATTTGTCCAGTTTCTCCTTTTCTTCGTTGTGAACATCCTTGGTGCATTCTTCGATGTCGAATAATTCGGTGAAGCAACACTTCTCTGTCGCTAAAACTAAAAAGGGAATTGAAAAGCATGTGATTGTTTTTTTTTATATGTTTTCAAGACATTCTTCGTTCTACCTGACACTTCATCTTCTTTGGCATGTTTCGCAGATTTCGGAGATTCAATTTCTTCTTTATATGTCGACACTAATTTCTCGTAATCTGCTAATTCCCTGTTTACTATGCAATCTCCTGGAAGATCGTCTTCACTTTGACGACTTTCTAGAATTCGTCTTCCTAATCCTTTCCTTTTGGCGTCACCGACATGATAGCCTTCGGAGATCGAGATTTCTTCTACTAAACGCGTCGGTTCGTTTATTTTTCGATTCTACGAAAACGAAAGATCAGTACGCGCAAATTGATTAATCTTGATTCCTATTAAAATACATCTTATGATATAGATATTAAAAAGTATTCCCCTAATTTCGGGAAACGCACTTGAGTTTTCCAAGGAAGTAGTATTTCATCGCTGTCCTTTGTCGCCTCTTTCTTAAAGTCGTCTTCACTGTTATTTTTATCGAAGCTGTCTTTCTCATCTTCACTATTTTCCTCTTCCGAGGAACTAGACGAAGAGACTGCGGATTTCTTCTTCTCCAAGCTTAACTATAATATGGAATAAAATATCAATAGTAAATAAATGGAAATAATTGAAGAAAGAGAAACTTACCAACTCCGAAGATGTAGTGATAATCTCTTCAGCTTCATTTTTGTATTCGGTACTACTTCCTTCCTTTTGCGAAATTTGCGCCTGTTCGACCTTCTTCCTCTTATTTATGATGGCTTTTGTCATTAAAATAATCATTATTAACAATCACTAGGAGAAATATTAATGTAGAAGAAATTGAAACAGACCCATTACGCTGTCGTTGATTTTCTTCTGCTCCGCTTGAATCCATTTTTGCCTTTCTGCGAGTTCTTCATCTGGACCGCCTCGGAACCTGAAAAATATCGCCAACGGAGAAAATAAAGCCTTATTATTCAGTATTTCTCTTAATTAGTATATTTAACACCTACCAAGCCTCGGCACAAGCTCTGTCGCGTGGAAAAATTGGTCTTTCGTCCAAATATTGCAGATTCTTGCATTTCAAGGTCATCGTCTTGCGATACATTTTTATGTTCTTCAGGACAGGATTTCCTGTTAAGACGACAACACGCAAAGACTTCATGTCTCCCAAAATCTAATGTCAAGGAATAAAGTACGAAATCTGACATATATTTTTATCTCTATTTTACGGATCTAGATTTAAAAAGTAATGTAAACTTACTTCTACAACATCGAATGTGTCGATTCGATTATGTGAAAGATCCAAAATGGAGAGGTTATCAAGTGTCCTTAGATGTTCCAAGTCGTTAGAATTTTGAAGATAATTGTGAGATAAGTTCAATGTTTTCAGCTCCTTCAAACTGTCTGAAATGAAAAATATAGGTCGCTGGTGAGACATTATATCCTGAAATTCAGGTTTACTTAAACCCACCTAAATTTTCGATTTTTCTTATCATGTTGTGAGAAAGATTCAGACTGTCCAATTTCGCGAGGCACTCGAGATTTTCGATTTTACTTATCAGATTGCTGTGCAAAAAGAGACATCTCAAGTCGGTTTGGTTTCCCAAATTTGCGATTTCTAGGATCCCGTTGTTCTCGAGCCAGAGGCATTTTAATCCCGTGTATTCTTTCAAATTTTCGATATAAGAGAAGCCTGAAATGTAAAACGTTTCATCTTTTAGTTAAGTCATTTTGTGCCTTCTACCGGCAAAAGATACATTTTAATAATAATTACCCTTGTAATGGAGATACAGGACATCGTTTAATCTTGGGGTTTGGTAGAGTTTCTGTTCCTTACAATGCTTTTTTATAAACTTTTCCGTCATCCTGTAAAAGAGAAAATGAAAAAGAAATGGAACGGGGGAAAAAAAATGGAAAATGGTATTTCTCTTACCTGACGCCATGTTTCTTCTCGTCGAATTCATAGACCTTGTCATCTACGTAGACTCTTTCTTCTTCCTTCGATTTATTTTCCGAAAAAAGGTCATTGAGATCAGTGTCCACGTCTTCCCCGTCGTGATTTTCCGTTTCTTCGGGTACTCGCTCTTCAAATTTTGCCGAATTTTTTTCTCCCGTCTTCTCATCTTCTGCATCGACTTCTTCTTTCATTTCCGGGATTCTGTAATTATCTGGGAAGATGTCGATATTCACGCTGTTACTTACGGAGAAATTGATTTCTTTTCCCTGAAGACGCAAATTCATTTCTTCGTCTTTTTTCTCATCCTGATGATTATCCGATTTCTTCGCTTTCCGGCGAAATTCCTCCGTGATTTCCGTTTTCGTCCGAGGAAACTCTACGTGTGCATCTTCAATTTCTTCGATATTCAAATTGTCGGATTTTATTTCTTCTTCCTCTACCGAATTTCTCATTGAGGAGACATCTTCTTCTTTTTTCTGTCGAGCCATCATTTCCTCGACTTCCGCGAACTTCAATTCAAGATCCTCTAGAGCTTCCTTCTTTTCTCTTTCTATTCTCTCCTTTCCATCTGCGATTATCTTAAGCTTTTCCTGAACTTTCATCTCCGATTCTTCGCCCTGCTCTTCCGCCAGTTTAGATAGTTCTTCAAGTTCCTCTTTCAGCGTATCTTGCTCGTCGTCTCTTTTGCTTATCTCTTTTTCGATATTCCGTAATTCCTGCTCGATGTCTTCGCATCTTCCTTCCCTTTTTCTCCTTTGAATTTCTTCCCCTACGTCTTCCAGGGTTCTCATGTTCTGCAAAACTATCTTCCAATCGTCTTCGCGTTTGTTTCCATCAATATCTTCATTGATTTCACAATAGATAGGAAAGACTTTCGTCTGCTTTAATTCTTCTTCCGTGTCTTCTTTTTTATTCTCTAAACGGTCTGCATCGTTTAATGGCAATTCCCTTTCTTCGTCTGCAATTTCTTGCTTGTCTGCTTCGATTGAAGTTACTTCATTCTCCTCTTGCTCTAATTTCCCGAAGTTTTCAAAGAATGACAAATCCTCTCTAAGGCTTTCTTCGTTAGCTTCACAGTTTATACTGAGAGCTCTCATCTCCTCTGGGAAGTTCCAATGAATTTCATCTTCAAATACTTTGTCCAGACTCTCCGCGTCTTTGAAAAATGACCTCTCCTCATCAACGTCTCCTAAATTGTCATGAAAATATTCCGAGATCCTCAATTCCTCCGAAGACTTCTCCATCCCAAAGAACTTCATCTTTGCCGCGAATTGCACGAACTCTTCGGACTTAACAACAGGCTCGTCTTCGGGGAAATTAAGAGGGTCGTAACTTTTCAAATATGGCGCCTTTCTCCCAATCTGCAAACTCTCAGCGTCCAATTCCGCTGGCAGCCCCTCTTCATCTTCGTCGACTCGAAGTGTCTGAAAAGAACAACGAGGAATTTCTGAAAACCGCTTTTCTCGCGGTTTTCCTTCTCACGACTCGCTGGGAATAGATATAAACAAAAGAATTCAGGGAGATCGTGATAATCCACGATGGGGAAGATTTATGGGCGACATTGAATTACAAATTCCCGTGAATTAATTTCACAGTGAGATTAGAGCTAGCTTTATCACCTGTACTTCAGAAATTGAAGTTCCGGTGCTACAACTTTCAGCTTCGGTGTTGTCAACCTCTTTGGTCCCTGAAGACACGGCGGTATCAGAATCGCAAATGTGGATATCACTTTCGTCGTGAATCGGACCCTTTTCAAAAACGGTCAATCCATCCATCATCTAACCCGGCACTTTAACTAAAACTTAACGATAAGACTTCGAGATTCTGAGAGTCCCGTTTTTAGGTGTGCCAGGATTCTATAAATCCAGCTTCCACGTGAAACGACCGAAAACAACCCAAAGCTGCCATGGCGACGGATGTGGTTGTTTGGTCGTTGATCGGTTCCCATACATAATCAGATATTGCAGTAATACCCGAAGGGCAGGGGTACCAATTGAATTACCACTCCAAACTTCCCGAATATATTTTCCAAATAATTAAGTACATCGAAAGTTGCGAGTGCTGATCGAATTAACATAATCCATTTCATCCATTTCATACATTCCACCTAAGCTTACGGCATAGCGCGTAACGTTCTCTTGAGGACACTGCGTTGTGTCGTTAACTAATCTCAATACGCGATGACAGTCAACAGGGCATTCAAAGTCAGCAGCATCCGAACAAATCATTGCCATTTACAAATCTAACATCTAAGGTTAGTACCAGGGTGCCAATCAATCTCAGCCGGCGATCATTTGTTCAGATGTCTGCGACCTTAGGATCATGCACTGATAGTCATCACCGTCTAAACAGGCTTGCAGCGCAACGCAGCGTGGAAGTTGTAGCGTTACGAACGGCGCCCTCGTCGTATCTACATTGTTTTGAGAAAAGCGCGTTTAAAGTGTCCACGGGTCGTTATTCGTTGCTTATCCTAACTGCTCCATTCCGTGGTCCATATTCCTGGCTCGGTTTTTGTCCATCTTGGCGGGCACGGCGATCCTCCGATCTTCAGAATTCCCTCGTAATCCGGGCACGGTTCCAAGTCGAATTCCGATGGGTCGACTCGTAGAAGTATTCGGCATTGGCAGGAAATTTAAAGGCCCTGGCTGAGATTCGGAGTCATCGAATAAATCAGCGGCGCTGGGGTGCAGAGAGAGGTTTCGCGAGACATTCGGCGACCGTGACCTCGCGGCCGGCGGGCCCGGCATGCATAGATCCGACTCTCCGAGGCAGAGGCGACTGCGCGCTTCGCCGCGCCGCCGCCGGAGGCGCTGCCGGCGCTCCCGTCCACCGGCCGAATCTTGATCCGAATACATTATGTAATTGACGGGGCTACGCGCCATCTTCCCGGCCGCTTTGAAAAACAAATCCGGTGGGTGGCCTCCGCGGGAATTCGGGATCAGCGCGTGCCGCGGCGATGGTGGCGGAGGTGGAATCCGATTTGAATGTGCTTTGAATCGGTAATCGGCAGATGCCGGCCCGCTCTCAAACGAGACGAGACGAGACGTCGGAACCCGAGTCTACGGAATCGGTTCAATTCTGGGGGGGACTTGCCCTTGAACCTCTCCGCACTTCACGGCGATCCGCTTGCGGTCGGACCGCCAAGCTCCCTCGTTTGTGGGAATTATTTCGCTTATTCTCGCGGTAACGTTCGCACGGGTCGTTTCACTTTTACACATTGAGGTAAAACTTCGTAGAGGATAGGATTCCATATGTGGCGTAAAAGAGACAAGGTGTGCTTCCGCGCACCTTGATCATGGAGTAATTTAAGGAGGTACAACGCCATTTATTGAAATCGTCACTTTAGGGGTCCAACATCTTCAGATTTTTTATTATGTAGTGCCGAGAGCGCCTGATGAAGTTTTGCAATTAAATATTATCGTCTGCTAGTCTTTATCGAGTTAAAAACCATTCTGTACACCATCCGTGGATTATCGTTTCGCTTTGCGCATCTTAATTGCACAATTAAAAACATTTTAGATCATTTACGTCGGTAGGAAAAGTTTCGGTCATGTAGGATTGGAGTTCCCTAAATGTCCGCAAGTAGCGCTCGTTAGATCGCGTCGTTAGATCAGCGAAAATCTGAGATCCTAGATCCCGATTCTAGGGTAACTTTCTGTGGAACCAACCATTGGCGTTATGTTTCCTTATCCTACTTTATGAAAATCGGTACACCAAGTTCGGAGAAATGTTCCATGTACGATTGACCCATCACATATCACATTGACATTTCCTTAAGATTCAAAAGTGGGTCTTTACTTGTTTTCCATTCGAGTCGACAATAAAAATACTACCTTCACGCAATTTATTTACGTATGTTCGATGAGTGAAAGAATAACGGAAAGACCCGAAGATCCTGGTTCGCTGTCCTGGGGAATCGAAAACATTCCGAGTAGAAATGAGTCAGCCGGTTGGATATACCGTTATTACATAATGAAGAAAACAAGATGGCGGCGCCGCATGCCGAGGAGGGTCGGTGATTGCGACGATTTCCCCGAAACTTTTAAATATTCGACCGCCGAGAGTCCACGCGACTTGGGCCATCGAATACGTGAATACACGCATCGTGTCTTTCGGGCGCCGAAAATCGGGTCGCCCGATAGGCTGACGGATTTAGTGGAAAACCATTAGCATTGGAGGCCCTCCTCCCCCGTCCTCCCGGCCACCATTACGGGAACAGACTTTCTTTTCTGGAACTATCACGCGTGTCCGAGAACTTGGATTTCATAACCTCACCGAGTGCGTTCGATCGCTCTCGATCTCGCCCGTGATAGCCGGAAGAGGACGCTACAGGAGAAACAAAGATGGCGCCGCACGTGCGGAGAAAACGGGACATTGTCCAGTCCGCTTCCAGGGCGTTTATTACGTATTTTTGACGAGAGCGCTTCCTTCTCGCACTGTCATCTCACGTGGGTTTATTCGCCGAATTACGTATTCGCTATATGAAAGAACGAGATCACTAGCACTTCCGGTCTAGTAATATTGCCAAATAAAGGTACATACCTTGTAAATCGAAAATTGTTGAGAGGTAGTGGGTTATTGGCAGGAAAGGCGTAATGATGGAAAGCCGTTGAAAGTAAAAAAGAGGACTCGAGTCTATCTATATTTTTTAAACATGTATTACACTCATATTTACATATATTTTCCATTTTTAATTTCGGTGTAACAATTCGTAGAAGATGGCGTTCACGGTGCTTATTTTTCTATCTTTTCTTGTATGCTTCACCATTTCGCTCAAAACCTTGTGCCGAGCCAGTTCATATGAATGGTCTTGTATTTTCACCACCAAAAACGTTCCGTAATACCGTGAGCTACTCATTTTTCACATTTTCGCTCAATTTGCTTTACGTAATAGACCCCCAGACTGTCTCAGTTTCTTCTTTCACTAAGGTCCTTTCACTAATCTTCTTTATCTAATTTCCCTCCTTTCCTATTCTCTAATGATCTTTATCGACAGATAACGAACGTTCAACTTGACGCCAAGAATGTTCTCGTACTGGAACCTTTCGTCACCGGGTGACTCGCCGTCGTGACGTCATCTAGGAAAGCGCTTCCTTCATTGGTCGCGGGTAAACCACGAAAGATCGTGAAAGCAGGAGGTGGGGGACCAGACGTGGAAACTTCGCGAAACCTGACACTGCGCCACCGCGGGATTTCCGCGAACTCGAAATCTGTGTCGCCGGGCAGCACGCGCTACGTGGCTCTTCTCACGATCGCCGACGTCACTAAAGCAAAAAGAAAGTACCGCTATTCTTAGGACCCCAGATCCGAATCGCAGTATCGAAGCTTTTTACATTGGTAATGCCTTTTACGTCGAATTTTGTTGGGCGGCAACAACAAGCCTGACGAAACGGGGACTTCACCGGTGGCCGAGATGGGAAGACGCGCCGCCATCTTGATTCATTTATTTACGCCCTGCTGTCCCATGGATATTCATGCGATTCGATAGACTACCTCGAATTAATCGTAATTGCTAATCAAGTCGACCTTGAGATTTGGACGAACTCTTAAGCGTCTCGCCAGGGCTTCACAGACACCCAGATCCCTAGATCTACATCGCATAATCGTTTTTTCAACCTCAAATGGTAAATTGGATCCGCGATCGGCATTCATCAGGCCGCCAATGGTAACCGCCTTCCCGTGGGCATAACGCAGGCTCGTTACGCCATTGGTGACATAATTTCGTAAGGATGTTTGAAATTCAATCCCCGACTGATCCCCATTGACGGGTCGTTAGGCGCAGAACTTTCCGTACGCAGCCCTTTTACTCCAGATCTATTAACAGCGTGCGTTTCTCTCTGTCTTCCCTTCTCTTTCCTGGAAACGGTATCACATTCCATAAGAAAAACAAGATATTCAGATAAAATCTGAATTTGTATATTAATCGCTTTTTAAGTCTTCGTGATACTAATAATGTAACGTTTGGTTCGTTTCTTATAACCTCACCGAGTCTTCTATTAAATATAGATCCACAAAGTAGTATAAGGATACACGCAAGGCGCGTTTCGCTCATCATTCGACACTATGAGTTTCTTGATACGACACCACGTATTAAAATCATCCCCACTGTAGGGGTCCAAGATCTCCAGATTTTGTTCGATCTACTGCCGACAGCGCCTCCTGGATGAAATTTTGCAATTACAAATTATCCTCTGCTAGCGGATCTCTTAGTCTTTATCACGTTAAAAACATCACATTCCGTATATCATTTGAGGATTATCCTTTGCGTACCTTAATCGTAAAATTAAAAGCATTTTAGGTCATTTACACCTGTAGGAAATGTTTTGGTCTCGTAGGATTGAAGTTCCCTTATTTTCCGCAAGTAGCGCTCGCGTAGTTAGATCGGCGAAAATCTGAGATACTGGGTCCCGATTCTGGGGACACTTTCTGTAAAACCAACCATTGGCGTTGTGTCTCTTTATACTACTTCATGCATAGATCTATACAAACTTTTGTTTCATATCTTAGATGTTCAATTCTTCATTAAGAAATGTTCATAACATATGGCGAGGACTACAAGTTGTTGGTAATGGGTTCCTTGGAATGGCTGTCGAACGGGTTCAGGGAAAAGAGTATCGGCCACGTGATTCTCGCGACCACGCGGCCATGTCCACTTAATCGTGCAGGCAATGCACCACCATAGCGCGCGTGTCGGGCGAAAGTTGGACGGACTTAGGTCGCGGAGATCGCGTGTAAACCGGAGCGGAGCGTCGCGCCGCGCGTGGGTCGCAGCCGC